GTTTTACTTTCTGGCAAGGAGTTCCAGGATTTTATTGCCCTGAAACTAAAAGCTATTTTGCCCAGATCTAATTAGGGTTTTGGTGGTCTATAGGTTGCCTTGGTTCTGCTGCGATATGAGAGTGTTTGTCTTTGACCATATCCAGTTTGTCATGTATAGCGGTTGGTCTTTCAGATTAGTATATTATTTTTATCATTTCCTTGAGTCGGCCATTTGAGTGCATTATGTAATTCTATGGAAGACCACTCGTAACCACATTGCAGAACCATTATTTTTATAGAAGTAATTTAGCAGACGCTCTTATCCAGTGACCTACAAATTGGTGCATTCAACTTAGGATAGCCAGTGGGACAACCATCCTTTTTTTTATGGGGGGGGGGGGGGGGGGGGGGGGGGGGTGTAGAAGGATTACTGTTATACTATTCCAGGTATTCCTTATGGCTGCCTTAGTTTGTGCTATCTGATCCCAAATCAGCACTCCTACTATGAGACGCTTGAATATGGGCCCAGGCTTCCATCTATGAATAAAGGGAACTCTCATCATCCTCAACATCATTTAGATGCAGTTTACTGTGCCTTTAATTGGAGCTGAACTTTAAAATCAGAACATTTCAGAATGTGCGTGCGTGCAACGATAGGGGTGTGTGTGTGTGTTCCACGAGAGACAATCCAGCCTTGCTGCTTGGTGCCCTGCTTGGTGCCCTGCCATATAACCTCTGGACATCACACAGTCCTCCTGACTAAAACAAAGACTGCTGCACGTCTTTGTGGGAGAAATAATTTAAAATGGTAGCGAGGAGTATGACAATGGGCTTTGAGACGGTATAAGGAAAAGTGTGTGTGTGTGTGTGTGTGTGTGTGTGTGTGTGGAGAGGCATGCTAACCTTGAGTTCCAGATCCATTCTATTCTTCTCTAAGGGGTTGATGGAGTTGACTATCAGAGCTATGAGGATGCCGATGCCGTTGGACTCGTGCTTGGCTATATAGGACTGGGACAACAAGAATTTACTTAGTTCGTGAGCGGAAAACACTTTAAAATGAGAACAATTTGCCGTTGTCGGTATAATGGTGAAACTGGCAGAGAACGGGAGAGTCATCTGCCACGTGAAGGGAGTGGAGTTCTGCAGGACTGCAGCTAGAGAGTGGGGTGCAGGCAGGGTCCACTGAGGAAGAAGGGAGAGCGAGACAGAAAATAAAGCAAGGAAAAGATAGAGGTAGCAACAGAAAGGATGAAGACTAAGGTCCTCTTGTCCAGGAAGCAACGGCAGTACTGATCCCTAACAGCTCCCATCATCGTGTTTTAGACTCCCTCACAGCCGCTCTGATGGCTGTAACGTTGCTATTAGGTAGCTGGAGTGTTGCTATAGTGTTCATGCCCAAACAGGAAGAGATTTTAGTTGCATAGATTTTTCCTCTCCCTTTGTGAAAGGAAGCCTGCCTTTTGAAGCAGCGTCTCACAACTAGGTGATATGGATGGGCAGGATGTTCACTCAGCTTTCATTTGATTTCTGTTTGGTTTTCGGCTGAGAGGGTGGCGTTTGGCTGTTAACTAATTAATAGGAAATATTGGACGTTGGCTTGATTTCATAACAATGTTATGAAATGTGATGCATTAGTGATTCTCTTTATAATAGATCACATCTTACCAATTTCATATGGAAATAAAGAGCATGTACATATGTACTGTAGGCCTATAGTAAGTTGAATTGGGTTTGAGTTTTGTTTGTAAACTTCCTATGTTCTCAGACTAAAAGATTTAAGAAAAACATGGAGCATGGGAAATAATGCTTAATCGAACGATCTGTTGAATGATCTGGCATTGAACATCCTCTGATCCTCTTTCAGTGCTTCTCATGGTTGGTATTGGATCGAGAGCATTATTCACCCGGTTACTAAAGTATAGGCTATGATACAGTACACCAGAGGGCCGGTTACACACAGACTGTATTCCCTCCAATCATAGTTACTGTAAGTTGATCCACCCTGCCTCCTGTCTCTGCTCTTACTCAGACATGTGGAAACACCTTAACAGGAGCCACACACACACGTTGTAGTGTAACACTAGACCAGTGTTTCCCTCTGCTATCAATAGACACATGGGCCTGTATTCACAAAGCATCTCAGAGTAGGAGTGCTGATCTAGGATCAGATCCCCCCCTACCCATAAAATCTTATTCATTCTGATGTAATCTGCAAAACTGATTCTAAATTAGTTGGCCCATATTCATAAAGGGAGTAGGAGTGCTTATGAATAAGAGCCCTGGCCTGTGAGACCTTTTAGTCTGTTGTGGTGAGACTTTCACACTTTCCACAAACAAGAAAACTTTTCAGCCAAATTTGTCCTTGCATCTTCTCTAACTTTCCCCTCACTGGCGGGCCTCAGTAGTACCACCTATAATTGACCATGGTCTGACCCAGAGAGTGTGCTCTGTTTCTGGGCTCTGCTTTCACTAGCTTCCCCTGAGAGCCTGGAGCTTTGTGTCTGTCTGGGCTGGGGCTCTACTCCAAGCCTCCTGCCTGAGACGTGAGGCCTCCTGAACAAGCATGGAGGAGAGGTGTGCTCAGCCCAAATTCTCTCTCCCTCCCTCTCTTCTGCAGCCCAGCCAGAGTTGGAGACATCTGCAGACGAGATGGAGGTATGGAGAGGGGAGGGAGGGAGGGGTGGTTGAGTTAGGTCGGTCCCCTGTAGCTCAGTTGGTAGAGCATGGCACTTGCAACGCCAGGGTTGTGGGTTCGTTTCCCACGGGGGGCCAGTATGAAAATGTATGCACTCACTAACTGTAAGTCGCTCTGGATAAGAGCGTCTGCTAAATGACTAAAATTTCAATGTAAAATGTTAGGGGGGCGGAGAGAGGTTTTGGCGAACTGCTCATCCCCAACTTGGACACCCAGAGCCGCAGTTTGGCGTGCCGGCGCACATTTTAAAAACCCACACAGCTAGATCTTCTTCCCCTCATCCCTCCCTCTCTCTCCATGCAGCAGCAGACAGATGATTCAGGCTGGCACGGCTCTCCGTCCTCTATCTCTCGCGCTCTCTCTCTCTCTCTATCCTGCTCTTTTCTCCTCCTCCCTCTGCAGAGCTGGCCAGCAGACTGCATCACCTGAGGGGGAGGCATCTAGGCAGGGAGGGAGGGGAGGTAGGGAGAAAGACTGGGGAGCCCCACACCTCGAACACCCTGCCTGCTGCACTCTACCTCTCTTTTAGGATGTGTGAAAGAATGGCGCAAGACAGATGTCTCTTTTTAGAAAAGTGGGAAATGTTAACGTCAAACACAATTCCGTCTGCAGTCAATCAAAAGGAAACATATTGCTGTTGAGTTGCCTTAAAAGACAGCTCAGTGTTAGTTTGCACTCTGTGTGTACATGTCTATATGTCTGATTGAGTGGGAATGAGCCGAGTTGGCTCACTGATATCATCACCTGCAATCCATGAAGGGTCTGTGTGTGTCTGTGTTTGTGTGTGCAAACCTATGTGTGCGAGACTCCGCTCTCAGACAGCCGTCAGTGCTGACTGCAGATGAGTTAGTGTTTACTGAGATGGGGAACATCAGCTGCACGTGCTCTCTCTCCACCAGAATACTGCTCCTTTCCTCAGAACACTTAGTTGAAGGGCTTCAGCTCAAAATAACTTTTCTCTGGACTTTTCGTTTGATCAACTTCACTTTTACCTTTCAGTTTTTTTCCTCCTCTCTGTGGTATCCCATGCGAGAAAGATCGGTCATTTGTCATGACATGGCTCTCTGTGGTACTTACCATGGAAACGGGCTGACCCCTGTGTCCATCCCTCTCTCCCTCCATCAATCCCTTTCTCTCTCCCTCCATCAATCCCTCTCTCTCTCCCTCCATCAATCCCTCTCTCCCTCCATCCCTCATTTGCTGTGCTCTTACATAATACATATTGGTGGTAAAAAGGAGTGAGCCTCTGGAGCATACATGTTTTCTACCTGCCAGACGGGTTTTAACAGTCAGTCACACTCACATATTATACAATCAGAGAGAGGGGGCGATTATTTCAGTGGCTCTCTCTAGAGGGCAAAGGTCACAAGTGGGGGAGTCTCTACCCAGAGAGGCAAACTTAAAGGGCGAGAGAGAACAACTCCGCTCTCCCTGTCTGCCTTCCCTCGTGATTTCCCAGAAGGCACCAGGTGTTATGTAACACGCGCACACACACACACACACACACACACACACACACACACACACACACACACACACACAGTCTTCCTTGTGTGTTCTCCCTCGGGAAGCACAGGATCAGTTCCCAGCACACCGTACCTTCAGCTCAGCTCCAGTTTCCTTCTTCCCCTTCTTTCTTTCTCTCTCACAGGAAGAAGTCGCTTCATCCTACAATGCGATTTGAACAATTACATCAATCCATGTTGCTTATGTAACGCTCTCACTCGTGAGGTCATCTTATTATATGACACCATTAGCGGAGTATTGGCGCCGTATGGCCACAGTGTACAGCATGTGTGTAGGATGTACCACAGAGTTGTGTAAAGTGAAAAGGCAGGTGACATCTCGTCTCACCAGATGTAAAAGCCATAGAAACCTAATTCCTACAATGGCCAAGGCCCCTCGGACCACGACAATTGGACTACACCCTCATGGACACACTCAATATGGCCGACATGGTGTTGTCATTCTGTATCTATGGCAAAAGCTGTCTTCTATGAATAAACTCTGATACATGGAAAGACTATGAATATGTCTGTGTTCCAAATGGCACCATATTTCCCTATGGGCTCTGGTCAACAGTAGCACACTATAATGGTTACAGGAGCCATTTGGGATGCAACCTTTGTGTCATGATTGAATAAGCATGGAAAATATGTTTTTCTTTGGTGTCTCTGACTGTTGATGGGAGGCACAAACAATGAGCGGACCTCACGTAATGAGTGAGAAAGTGTGTGTGCCTGCCTGTGTGCATGTTTCTGTCTGGCATAAAACAGACACGTTCTGGTGTGGATTTAATATTTTCCATTTCTCTCCTCCCGCAGGGAAACGTGTTAAGGAATATTCTCCTCACTCGCTACTTTGGAAATCAAAGGCTTCTTTCCAAATCAGAGTTTGGGAGCGGGAACAGCTTGGCTGGAGGCTTTGGAGGTACTAAACATGACCCCGAATAACCCCAACTACACCTTAACAATACTCCCTGTTACTTGGGGGGAGTGAGCAGATAACATGCATTATTGTAGTATTGTTTACTGGTAGCCCGTGGTCATAGGCTAATAGGCTATCATAGGTTATTATTTCCTCATAGGCTGTAATCATAGGTTATTATTTCCTCATAGGCTGTAATCATAGGTTATTATTTCCTCATAGGCTGTAATCATGGGCTATTATTTATTATTGACAGTTATAAGAGGATATAAGACATACACATACAAACCCTCGGTTCCAAATCAGACATGGATTCAAATACTATTTGATATCATTCAATTACTTTTAGCGTTTGCTTGAGACTGCCTGGTGTGCCAGGTGGGTGGGGTATCCGCTTTTGCTACTATTCCATTTGTCCATTAAGCCAGACAAGCTCAATAGTATTTGAACCCAGTTCTGTTCCAAATCATGTCCTCCCATTTCCCCCATTCCAATCCATCTATTTATTCATCTATCTTATCTATCTGCAGGTGGCTCTCTGGTCCAGGACTCTGACAAGCCGAGCAGCAGTATGGTGGACATCCAGTATCTGCTGGACAGCGAGGGAGCCTCAGAGCTGGTCATAGACCTCATCGTCAGCACCAAGAACGATCGCGTGTTCCAGGAGAGCATCCTGCTAGGCAATGCCCTGCTGCGGGGGGGAAACACTCAGATACAGGTGGGTGAGGAGGGGGTAGGCTCAGTCAGATACAGGTGGGTGAGGAGGGGGTAGGCTCAGTCAGATACAGGTGGGTGAGGAGGGGGTAGGCTCAGTCAGATACAGGTGGGTGAGGAGGGGGTAGGCTCAGTCAGATACAGGTGGGTGAGGAGGGGGTAGGCTCAGTCAGATACAGGTGGGTGAGGAGACGGTAGGCTCAGTCAGATACGTAAATACGAGATTCAGGTTGATGGGCACACACACACAGACTCACACACTCCGATACAAGTGTTTATCAACTATCTGATGGGTCGTTTACATTCCCCCCCCCCCCCCCCCCCCCCCCCCCCCCCTCAGAATTCGTTCTACCACCAGCTGCACAAGCAGAAGAAGTCGGAGCGCTTCTTCAAGGTGTTCTACGACCGCATGCGTCTGGCCCAGCAAGAGATCCGGGCCACCGTGTCCGTCAACATGTTCGAGGTCAGCACCTGCAGGAAGAGAGAGGAGGACATCGACGTCAGTCACAGTGGCATCCGGCTCAGGAAAACAGGTATGTTCTTTCTATGTCTACATATAAATATAATGACTAGAACAATTTTGACTCCTAGCTTTTAGAGATAAAAAAAATATTACTTCTTAAACAAAATCTCTTTCTCTGAGCAATTGTATTAGTATAAAATAACATACATTTGCACTTTTTTTGCATACAATATAGCTCAGTATTTGTATTATTTGTATTATTTATTTTATACAGTCTTTTTTGCTCATCTTTATCAATGGTGCCAATAATTTTGGACCTGACTGTACACTTGTGTGTCTGGAATGTTGTCTGCTGTTGGTGGAAAACTAGATTTCCCCACTGTGGATAAATACATTTTGTTTGATTCCAATACATATTCTTCATTCAGTTCTCCAGCTGCAGTCTTTCCCCTCCTTACTGGCCTTCCCCTTGTTTCATGGGAAACAGACATGTCTGTGATGCAGCAGATATTGTAAAATCTACATAGACTCCACAGACTGAAGTTTGGTGTGGAAGGTTGAGAGAGTTAAATAGTGAGGGACCAGGGAGGAGTGTGGGAGGATGAGAGGTGAAGAGGGAGTTAAGTTTTAAAGATGCTGAGTCATAATGGTCATGAGGGGTCATGCTCTGAACATGAGCCTACAGGTCTCCATGGAGATGATGGTGCTTAGGCCACTGAGATGGGAAAAGGGCTCTCAATGCAGACATACAGATAATAGGCCTATAATGTAAATTTGCTTTTATTCAAATGCACATTTGTAGTGCATCAAGTGCACCTGTGTAGTTTGTAATATACAGTGACAGTAATACAGTGTAGTATATGCATTGTCATTCAAAGGTTTAAAACCCCAGCCTGGACTACATAGTAATAGTGACTCATAAGGTCAAAGGTCGCTCACATTTCTCTCTGTGCTGACATCATACCTTAGGCGCCAGTTGATCTCTCTGGGCCGAGGTCATTAACCCATTTAACTAGCAATGTGACTACAGTAAAAACAGTGTAAATCTGTGTGGTTTCCCCTGTAGTTTCACTGACCTCTGAACACTGTGGAGTGATTCTGTGGTTCCCTGTTCCTGTTTCGCCCCCATGCCTGCGGTCACATGTCAGGGGCCATGTGAGGGGCCACAACACTAAGTCTATCAAAGGGCCGTTGTATCCAGATGTTGTTTTGATACACCAAAATCCCCAACTACACAGTTAACCCGTTGTCAGAGGGGTCGCAGTGATTTTAGGAATTATTACAAAAAAGTGGTTGTTTTGACTGATAAGATTTCATGTCAGTTTGACTGGGGGGGAAGCATTGAAAAACAATCATGGGAATGGATTGGCTCATAGTGAGTAGCAGGGTTGTGGTCCATTTCATTTCAATACAGTACTATCAGGTCAGGAAGGGCATTGAAATTCAAGTGATTACATGATCGAAAAATTATGTGACACTTTCATATCATGGTGAGGCATATATCTGTACCTGGGGCAAAGACTTTGTGTTTTCCTGGGGCAAAAGTTCAGGATATCACCAGGTTGCTTCCAGAGGCTGTGAGTCAGTCACCGGGGGCTGATACTGTCATGGTTCATGTGGGGTCAAATGACATTATGAAGGGCAGCTCAGAACAGCTGAAGATGGATTTTAAAGAACTGATTGGGTCTCTACTTGACACCAACAAACGCCCCATAAAATCTGGCCCTATGCCCTCCCTAAATCATGGCATTGAACGGTTCAGCAGACTTTTAGCCCTCCATAACTGGCTACGAGACTATTGCAGCTCTGTGGGTGTATCATTTATTGACAATTTTGATACCTTCTGGAAACAAAGCTTGCATTACAAGGAGGATGGGATCCACCCAAATCATTTGGGTTCCTTGATCCTTTCACAGCATTTTAAGGCTGCGTTGAGACAATGACTTATCAATGACCCAAGACCAGCGCAGTTAATCCCTACCATTGTGTCGCTGAGTTGTCATAATGATTCAGCAAATGTACATTATCCTAGGGGCGTTGGAAGACACAATGTAAATAACCTAATTTATGTCCCTCTTACTGCCCGGAATGCCTCTGCTGATCCTACAGCTATTGTATGCAATAATCATATGCCTATGAACCAAAGTAATACTGTTAGCACTGAGGTGGTGTGCCCTAGTAGGAAGTCCACTGTGTGCAGCTGACCCTGCACTAATAAAAATAACCTGAGTATGTCTACCTCTGCAAAGCTTCCCAGTAAAGCAAGAAAAATAATCAAGCATCCCAGAAAAGTGTTAAAAATAGCCCACGTTAACATATGTAGCTTAAAAAACAAGGTTCATGAAATTTATAATTTGCTAGTAACAGATGACATTCATATTCTGACAATCTCTGAAACTCACTTAGATAATACCTTTGATGATACAGTGGTAGCAATACAAGGTTATAACATTTACAGAAAAGCCAGAAATACCAATTACGGCGATGTTGCGGTCTATATTCAGAACCACATTCCTGTAAAGCTTAGAGAGGATCTCATGTTAAATACTGTTGAAGTAATATGGTTACAGGTTCACCTGCCTCACCTAAAGCCCATTCTGATGGGAAGCTGCTATAGACTACCAAGTGCTAACAGTCAGTATCTGGATAAGGTGTGAAATGTTTGATAATATACACTACCAGTCAAAAGTTTGGACACACCTACTCGTTCAAGGGTTTTTCTTTATTTTTACGATTGTTTACATTGTAGAATAATCTTGAAGACATCAAAACTATGAAATAGCACATATGGAATCATGTAGTAACCAACAAAGTGTTAAACAAATCAAAATATATGTAATATTTGAGATTCTTCAAATAGCCACCCTTTGCCTTGATGACAGCTTTGCACACTCTTGGCATTCTCTCAACCAGCTTCATGAGGTAGTCTCCTGGAATGCATTTCAATTAACAGGTGTGCCTTCTTAAAAGTTAATTTGTGGAATTTATTTCCTTCTTAATGTGTTTGAGCCAATCAGTTGTGTTGTGACAAGGTAGGGGGTGGGTATACAGAAGATAGCCCTATTTGGTAAAATACCAAGTCCATATTATGGCAAGAACAGCTCAAATAAGCAAAGCGAAACGACAGTCCATCATTACTTTAAGACATGAAGGTCAGTCAATCCAGAATATTTCAAGAACTTTGAATGTTTCTTCATACAATACGTTTTGTAGTGATTGCTATGTTGTTGATGTGAAGAATATTTGTTGGTCTGTGGTGTGTAATGACGAGAAACCAGACACTGCACTTGACACATTTATGAAATTGCTTATCCCAGTTACTAATAAGCATGCACCCATTAAAATAAAAAAATGACTGTAAAAACGGTTAAATCCCCATGGATTGATGAGAAATTGAAAAATGGTATGGTTGAGAGGGATGAGGCAAAAGAGATGGCAAATAGGTCTGGCTGTACAACCGATTGGCAAACGTACTGCAAATTGATGTGACTAAACTGAATAAAAAGAAGAAGAAACTACACTATGAAGCAAAGATAAATGACATAAAGAATGATAGGAAAAAGCTTTGGAGCACCTTAAATGAAATTTTGGACATAAAGGCAAACGCCGCTCCATCATTCATTGAATGACAAGCATTGTAATTTTGAATTCCGTAAAGTAAGCGTGGAAAAGTTGAAAAAAAGTATTCTTGTCAATCAACAAGGACAAGTACCGGGGTCTGACATCTTGGATGGAAAATTACTTAGGATAATAGCGGACGATATTGCCACTCCTATTTGCCATATCTTCAATTTAAGCCTACTAGAAAGTGTGTGCCCTCAGGCCTGGAGGGAAGCAAAAGTTATTCCCCTACCTAAGAAAAGTAAAGACCCCGTAACTGGCTCAAATAGTCGACCAATCAGCCTGTTAACAACCCTTAGTAAACTTTTGGAGAAAAATTGTGTTTGACCAGATAAAATGCTATTTTACAGTAAACAAATTGACAACAGACTTTCAGCACGCTTATAGGGAAGGACATTCAGCAAGCCCAGCACTTACACAAATGACTGATTGGCTGAGAGAAATTGATGCAAAAAAGATTGTGGGGGCTGTTTTGTTAGACTTCTGTGCGGCTTTTGACATTATCGATCATAGTCTGTTTACACCCCCTGCTATACAGTGAGGGAAAAAAGTATTTGATCCCGTGCTGATTTTGTACGTTTGCCCACTGACAAAGAAATTATCAGTCTATAATTTTAATGGTAGGTTTAAAATGTTATAAATTGATTTGCATTTTAATGAGGGAAATAAGTATTTGACCCCTCTGCAAAACATGATTTAGTACTTGGTGGCAAAACCCTTGTTGGCAATCACAGAGGTCAGACGTTTCTTGTAGTTGGCCACCAGGTTTGCACACATCTCAGGAGGGATTTTGTCCCACTCCTCTTTGCAGATCTTCTCCAAGTCATTAAGGTTTCGAGGCTGACGTTTGTCAACTCGAACCTTCAGCTCCCTCCACAGATTTTCTATGGGATTAAGGTCTGGAGACTGGATAGGCCACTCCAGGACCTTAACGTGCTTCTTCTTGAGCCACTCCTTTGTTGCCTTGGCCGTGTGTTTTGGGTCATTGTCATGCTGGAATACCCATTGACGACCCATTTTCAATGCCCTGGCTGAGTGAAAGAGGTTCTCACCCAACATTTGACGGTACATGGCCCCGTCCATCGTCCCTTTGATGCGGTGATGTTGTCCTGTCCCCTTAGCAGAAAAACACCCCCAAAGCATAATGTTTCCACCTCCATGTTTGATGGTGGGGATGGTGTTCTTGGGGTCATAGGCAGCATTCCTCCTCCTCCAAACACGGCGAGTTGAGTTGATGCCAAAGAGCTCGATTTTGGTCTCATCTGACCACAACACTTTCACCCAGTTCTCCTTTGAATCATTCAGATGTTCATTGGCAAACTTCAAACGGGCATATATATGTGCTTTCTTGAGCAGGGGGACCTTGCAGGCGCTGCAGGATGTCAGTCCTTCACGGCGTAGTGTGTTACCAATTGTTTTCTTGGTGACTATGGTCCCAGCTGCCTTGAGATCATTGACAAGATCCTCCCGTGTAGTTCTGGGCTGATTCCTCACCGTTCTCATGATCATTGCAACTCCACGAGGTGAGATCTTGCATGGAGCCCCAGGCCGAGGGAGATTGACAGTTATTTTGTGTTTCTTCCATTTGCGAATAATCACACCAACTGTTGTCACCTTCTCACCAAGCTGCTTGGCGATGGTCTTGTAGCCCATTCCAGCCTTGTGTAGGTCTACAATCTTGTCCCTGACATCCTTGGAGAGCTCTTTGGTCTTGGCCATAGTGGAGAGTTTGGAATCTGATTGATTGATTGCTTCTGTGGACAGGTGTCTTTTATACAGGTAACAAGCTGAGATTAGGAGCACTCCCTTTAAGAGTGTGCTCCTAATCTCAGCTCGTTACCTGTATAAAAGACACCTGGGAGCCAGAAATCTTTCTGATTGAGAGGGGGTCAAATACTTATTTCCCTCATTAAAAATGCAAATCAATTTATAACATTTTTGACATGCGTTTTTCTGGATTTTTGTTGTTGTTATTCTGTCTCTCACTGTTCAAATAAACCTACCATTAAAATTATAGACTGATCATTTCTTTGTCAATGGGCAAACATACTAAATCAGCAGGGGATCAAATACTTTTTTCCCTCACTGTATTGTGGATAAAGAGTTGCCTGTCTAACAGAACACAGAGGGTGTTCTTTAATGGAAGCCTCTCCAACAAAATCCAGGTAGAATCAGGAATTCCCCAGGGCAGCTGTGTAGGCCCCTTACCTTTTTCAATCATTACTAATGACATGCCACAGGCTTTGAGTAAAGCCAGTGTGTCTATGTATGTGGATGACTCAACACATCAGCTGCCACAGCGACTGAAATGACAGCAACACTTAACAAAGAGCTACAGTTAGTTTCAGAACGGATGGGTAGGAATAAGTTAGTCCCAAATATTTCAAAAACTAAAAGCATTGTATTTCGGACAAATCATTTACTAAACCCTAAATCTTGTAATGAATCATGTGGAAATTGAGGAGGTTGAGGAGACTAAATTGCTTTGAGTAACCCTGGATTGTAAACTGTCATGGTCAAAACATATTGATACAACAGTAGCTAGGATGGGGAGAAGTCTGTCTATAATAAAGTGCTGCTCTGCATTCTTAACAGCACAATCAACAAGGCAGGTCCTACAGGCTTTAGTTTTGTCACACCTGGACTTACTGTTCAGTCGTGTGGTCAGGTGCCACAAAGAGGGACTTAGTAAAATTGCAATTGTCTCAGAACAGGGCAGCACGGCTGGCCCTTGGATGTACAAAGAGAGCTAATAATATGCATGCCAATCTCTCCCGGAAAAGTGGTGCGTGCATATGTATTCACCCCCTTTGCTATGAAGCCCCTAAGTAAGATCTGGTGCAACCAATTACCTTCAGAAGTCACATAATTAGATTGCACACACAGGTGGACTTTATTTAAGTGTCACATGATCTGAGTATATATACACCTGTTCTGAAAGGCCCCAGAGTCTGCAACACCACCAAGCAAGCGGCACCATGAAGACCAAGGAGCTCTCCAAACAGGTCAGGGACAAAGTTGTGGAGAAGTACAGATCAGGGTTGGGTTATAAAAAAATATCAGAAACTTTGAACATCCCACAGAGCACCGTTAAATCCATTATTAATAAATGGAAGGAATATGGCACCACAACAAACCTGCCAAGAGAGGGCCGCCCACCAGAACTCACGGACCAGGCAAGGAGGGCATTAATCAGAGAGGCAACAAAGAGACCAAAGATAACCCTGAAGGAGCTGCAAAGCTCCACAGCGGAGATTGGAGTATCTGTCCATAGGACCACTTTAAGCTGTACACTCCACAGAGCTTGGGAGGGGGGGGGGGTGAATAGTTATGCACGCTCAAGTGTTCTGTTTTTTTTGTCTTATTTCTTGTTTGTTTCAACAACAACTAAAATATTTTGCATCAAATAAATAAATAAATAAATCAAATGATACTGTCACGGATTCAGCCGAGGCTGCTCCTCACTGTATGTTGTGAAATCTGTTATAAATGTATTGTTATGTTTTTAAAATGTATAACTGCCTTAATTTTGCTGGTCCATAATAAAGACAAAGATCATTAATTTTAATTCCACTGCGAAATTGTCTGACTTGAAAGTAAATCACCCTCCAACCGTAGTCAGCAGAAATCCTCAGAATTTCTAGAAAACCTGTGAATGTTTCGGATTGTTTCTAGAATTGTGCAACCATTCAGTGACCCACCCCTTCCTCTCCTCCTCCTCTAGCGAAAGACTCTTCCCTTCACATGAAAGACGACATGCGTGGCCAGTTGAAGGAGGCGTCCTCTGCCACCTCCAAGGCCTTTGTCTCCTTCCGAAAGGATCTGGACACAGACCTGGAGGTGCTGGATGGCCAGGCCGGTGAGGGGCCCGGGGGAGGGGGCGAGGAGCGAGAGGAAGAGACCCAGATGAGCCCGGCCATCACCATCATGAAGCCTATCCTGCGATACCTCCAGCTGCTCTGTGAGAACCACAACAGGAACCTGCAGGTATTGAATTACATTGAATAAACGTATTCTTGATCCCCAGAGGGGAAACTGGATTTGTCACCAGCATATAGGCACTGTATTGGGAGATCACAGTTCCTCTAACCACAAGCTGAACTTCATGGTGTTTACCATGTTCACATGATGAGTAAATAATGAATCATGTCAACAAGGATTAGCAGGTAGGCCTACTGCATTTGAGGAAACAGATTTGATTCTGAGACTAAATCATTGTCATTTTCAACAACCGGGTATTATTGTCAATATCTGTCTCACGGTTTTATTCTGAAAGGCATGACTTTATTTTGACACACCCTGCTATAAACCCAGATCAGTTGTGCTCACACACAGATAGGAGGTCATACTAGTATCCTATGAATATTAACCACCTTTCTTCCCCTCCTGGTTCCTCCCTGAATCCAGAACTTCCTGCGGAACCAGAACAACAAGACGAACTACAACCTGGTGTGTGAGACGCTGCAGTTCCTGGACATCATGTGTGGCAGCACCACAGGAGGCCTGGGCCTGCTGGGCCTCTACATCAATGAGGGCAACGTGGACCTTGTCCGGCAGACCCTGGAGACAATCACAGAGTACTGCCAGGGGCCTTGCCATGAGAACCAGGTAGGGGACCACCACTACCAACCAGGTCACCCCAAAAACTATACAGTACCAGTCAAAAGTTTGGACACACCTACTCATTCCAGGGTTTTTCTATATTTTTACTATTTTCTACATTGTAGAATAATAGTGAAGACATCAAAACTATGAAATAACACATATGGAATCATGTAGTAACCAAAAAAGTGTTAAACAAATCAAAATATATTATATATTTGAGATTCTTCAAAGTAGCCACCCTTTGCCTTGATGACAGCTTTGCACACTCTTGGCATTCTCTCAACCAGCTTCATGAGGTAGTCACCTGGAATGCATTTCAATTAACAGGTGTGCCTTGTTAAAATTTAATTTGTGGAATTTCTTTATTTCTTAATTATTCTTTTTTTTGTCATTTAGCAGACGCTCTTATCCAGAGCGACTTACAGGAGCAATTAGGGTTAAGTGCCTTGCTTAAGGGCACATCGACAGATTTTTCACCTAGTCGGCTCGGGGATTAGAACCAGCGACCTTTCGGTTACTGGCACAACGCTCTTACCCACTAAGCTACCTGCCGCCCAATGCGTTTTAGCCAATCAGTTGTGACAAGGTAGGGTTGGTATACAGAAGATAGCCCTATTTGGTAAAAGACAAGTCCATATTATGTCAAGAACAGCTCAAATAAACAAAGAGAAACGACAGTCCATCATTACTTTAAGACATGAAGGTCAGTCAATCCGGAAAATTTCAAGAAGTGCAGTCGCACAAACCATCAAGCGCAATGATGAAACTGGCTCACATGAGGACCACCACAGGAAAGGAAGACCCAGAGTTACCTCTTCTGCAGAGGATAAGTTCATTAGAGTTACCAGCCCCAGAAATTGCAGCCCAAATAAATGTTTAAAGTTCAAGTAACAGACACATCTCAACATCAACTGTTCAGAGGGGACTGCGTGAATCAGGCCTTCATGGTCGAATTGCTCCAAAGAAACCACTACTAAAGAACACCAGTAAGAAGAAAATACTTGATGGGCCAAGGAACATGAGCAATGGATATTAGACCGGTGGAAATCTGTCCTTTGGTCTGATGAGTCCAAATTTGAGATTTTTGGTTCCAACTCCCATGTCTTTGTAAGACGCAGAGTAGGTGAACAGATGATCGCCGCATGTGTGGTTCCCACCATGAAGCATGGAGGAGGCGGTGTGATTGTGTGGGGATGCTTTGCTGGTGACACTGTCTGTTATTTATTTAGAATTCAAGGCACACTTAACCAGCATGGCTACCACAGAATTCTGCAGCGACACGCCATCCCATCTGGTTTGCGCTTAGTGGGACTATCATTTGTTTTTCAACAGGACAATGACCCAACACACCTCCAGGCTGTGTAAGGGCTATTTGACCAAGAAGGAGAGTGATGGAGTGCTGCATCAGATGACCTGGCCTCCACAATCACTCGACCTCAACCCAATATCACTGCGTGAGACTAGTTAACCCAAATTATATGATATGTCACCGTCGTACCACAAGGATTTCCTCTTGGCCTGGGGTCACTCAACGGTTACACCAGAAAACCATAATGTTGCTGTGCTTACTTTACCATGGAAGATGCATTTGAGTTTGTGGTCCAAGCGTAGCCATGTAAACCATTGGAATGAATGTACAGCAAATATGTGGGGGTGTTCAGTAAGATGTGAACCATGTAAATTTATAAAGTGGTTGGGAAGTTACACTATTGACCTACAATCCTGCCAGACTGACAATAGTATTGTCTAATTGATTCTAAAACATCTTAATTAAAGGGATAGTTCACTTTTTTGAAGTTTTAGCTTATTGTCGAGGGTGTTGGGTGTTGTCATTTGAACTACCTATTTAAATCTTGCCAATTTTTTGTTTCACTATTATACTAACTAACTTCTTGTTGTCTCAGTCCTGTATAGCCAAGCACGAGTCCAACGGCATCGACATCATCATAGCTCTGATAGTCAACTCCATCAACCCCTTGGGGAAGAATCGAATGGACCTGGTGCTAGAACTCAAGGTTAGCATGCCTCTCCATACACACACACACCCACACCCCTACAAGAGCCCTTGGAGAGCTTTCAGTGCAAGTCAACGGCTGGATAAGCAGCAGAGTATAGTTCATTATACCTAGACGATTACTGTATAGGTATCCCATCTTGCCCTATATGAGTGGGCCATTCATGCTACACACACGATGCTGTCACTATCAATGGCAATCATTTGAGAGTCACTTTCTTGTTAAAAGTCCCATTTGTCCTTGTGTGGTTATGGCCTTACGAGGTGATATCTGCTGAGACTTCAGGGTGAGGGAGGAATGCACTGCATTTCTTTCCTCCTTTCTTTCATAGGAAACAAATGTCTTTCCTCAGTGGAATGGAGATTTTAGCATTTAAATCTTGGTGGGGCAAACTCCCCCAATGTTTTTAGGATGCATGCCAGCAAAGCCACTACACAACACGACACAACACTAAACAATACATTAATTGCACTATAACAGTGACAAACGGTGCCCACAAACTGTTAGGGCCTACATTAAGCTGTCCCAACACCTTACCACTGCTACAACTGACTATCAGCGGAGCCTTGTCTGGCAGCGAAACAGTTCATTCAGCCTCGTTAACTGCCTTTTAAAAAGACATAGCTGATATGGCTGACTTGCTTAAAGAAATTGGGTTTCTACTGACAATTGAGATGTACAAACTATGGGGGACTATATAAGGGGACGACGAGCAGATAAGAGGCAATCCGTAGATTAAGACATTAATGAGCGAGCTAGGACGGATGTAGTCAATATAACTATTTGTTCAGCACTTTTAAAGTGTACTGCGACAGAATTCAGAACATGGGCCGTTCTTACAGTATTCTCCCTGGTACACCAAGTCAGAACCTTAGGATAAATGAAGGGGGCATATAATCAGACAATGAAAGCTCTTACAATATTCGATGATGACATTTCTCTCAAACAGGCTATAGGCTACATGTGCACCACTAAGTCAGAACAGTAGGTAATGAGCGGGAAAGGGACCAGGTTGAATCATGACGTCAGTGATCTTCAGGGCGGAGCTCTAGAAAGAGGCCCGAGTTCCCGACTTGGAATTCCGAGTTGGATGACCATTTAAAACGTATTTTCCCAGTCGGAGCTAGTTTTTTCCCCAGTTGTCTTGAACTCACTGAAGTCTGAGATTTCCCAGTTCCGAGTTTCCAGTTCTTTTGAACGCGGCAGAAGTCTTCCTGGATTGACAGCATGGCCAATGTTGAATGTTTATCCTTTTAAGCTTGGAAAAAAATACCCTTAAACCCAGACTTGGACCACACACCCACTCCATTGAAAAGCAGGCTAGTGATTGCTTTGCAATGCTTGCAGTTAGCCACTGATTCCTTCCAAACCACTCATTGTTCAATTTGCTATTTCCAACTTGTTGTGTAATGTTTATGTCCAATGGCTGATGAGCACCGATACGTTTTATCTATAATTTCTCATCATATGACAAGGATTGAAAAGGATTTGCCAGTAGACTTTTGACTTGATTCATGATGATGACTGCTAGCTTGCTAGCTAAGATTTTGAAAGCATAATGTTGACATGACCAGTCCAATCAAAGCTACTGTAGATATAATGTGATTTGACGTCATTTTATCTGTGGCCAATGACCTTGCGCCTTCTTGGATGGGCACTTCTAATGTAACTCTATGGCAGCACCCAAGGGGCTTGAATTTTCGAGCTCTCCCCGAAAATGTTGTGGTGACGTAGTATCCCCATGAGTGATAGAACACTGAGACAATCACGGCACAACTAGAGAACATTACCAACCCCTACACTCCGTATTTTCCGCTGGCTGCCCCACCACCACAGAAAACACTGAGTTAGGCTGAAACACCTGCATTTTGGAGCTGCCTTACTCAAGAAAGCAAATAAGAGACCATGTTTGTATTCGGCTTTATTAACTCAATGATTTTTTTTTTTTTTTTTTATTTGTTTGCAAACTGATATGTGACACGTATTCATACCAAAATAACAGGCAAAACAGGATAAAATGAAGGGTCTGAATGAAGGGTCGCCACTGCCTCAGTGTAATGTCAGTTATCCATCAGCTCATTCATTCCTATAGTACTGATTTTGAAGTCAGTTTCTGCTGGGTAACATATGATTGTGGAGTGGGTTAGGATTTGATGGTCATGTGACATGACTCTGTGTGCTAGAACAACGCCTCCAAGCTGCTGCTGGCCATCATGGAGAGTCGCCATGACAGCGAGAACGCCGAGAAGATCCTTTACAAGATGAGACCCATGGAGCTGGTGAGTGAATCCATACACACACTTACACACACAAACACACATGTTACTGACAACGTATGTGTTCCAGGTGGATGTGATGAAGGAGGCGTATTCCCAGGGGCTGGAGAGTGAGGCTGAGGAGAACTCAATAGGAGACCAGATCAAACCTAAAGACGTAGGACACAACATCTACATCCTGGCCCACCAGGTAACCCCATGACGTGTGTGTGTGTGTGTTTTAACATGCATGATTGAGTGTGTGTGGGAGAGAGTTTTTTGCACCATGTATATTCATACTTTAATAAGGGCCCAATGACAAAGGCAAAGTCAGTGGCACAGAAAAAGACGGTAATTCACATACTGTATCATTCGCCTATGTGTCACTCTCTTACTCCCCCACCAGGTAAGTCTAATGATTCATGTCTGTACAGTCGTGGTCAAAAGTTTTGAGAATGACACAAATATTAATTTTCACAAAGTCTGCTGCCTCAGTTTTTATGATGGCAATTTGCATATACTCCAGAATGTTACGAAGAGTGATCAGATTAATTGAAATTAATTGCAAAGTCCCTCTTTGCCATGAAAATGAACTTAATCCCCAAAAAACATTTCCACTGAATTTCAGCCCTGCCACAAAAGGACCAGCTGACATCAATCATGTCAGTGATTCTCTCGTTAACACAGGTGAAAATGTATGCACTCACTAACTGTAAGTCGCTCTGGATAAGAGCGTCTGCTAAATGACTAAAATGTAAATGTAAATGTGAGAGTGTTGACGAGGACAAGGCTGGAGATCACTCTGTCATGCTGATTGAGTTAGAATAACAGACTGGAAGCTTTAAAAGGAGGGTGGTGCTTGAAATCATTGTTCTTCCTCTATTAACCATGGTTACCTGCAAGGAAACACTTGCCGTCATCATTGCTTTGCACAAAAAGGGCTTCACAGGCAAGGATATTGCTGCTAGTAAGATTGCACCTAAGTCAACCATTTATCGGGTCATCAAGAACTTCAAGGAGAGAGGTTCAATTGTTGTGAAGAAGGCTTCAGGGCGCTCAAGAAAGTCCAGCAAGCGCCAGGACCGTCTCCTAAAGTTGATTCAGCTGCGGGATCGGGGCACCACCAGTGCAGAGCTTGCTCAGGAATGGCAGCAGGCAGGTGTGAGTGCATCTGCACGCACAGTGAGGCGAAGACTTTTGGAGGATGGCCTGGTGTCAAGAAGGGCAGCGAGGAAGCCAATTCTCTCCAGGAAAAACATCAGGGACAGACTGATATTCTGCAAAAGGTACAGGGATTGGACTGCTGAGGACTGGGGTAAAGTCATTTTTACATTTACATTTTAGTCATTTAGCAGACGCTCTTATCCAGAGCGATTTACAGTTAGTGAGTGCATACATTTTCATATTTTCTCTGATGAATCCCCTTTCCGATTGTTTGGGGCATCCGGAAAAAAATTGTTAGGAGAAGACAAGGTGAGCTCTACCATCAGTCCTGTGTCATGCCAACAGTAAAGCATCCTGAGACCATTCATGTGTGGGGTTGCTTCTCAGCCAAGGGAGTGGGCTCACTCACAATTTTGCCTAAGAACACAGCCATGACTAAAGAATAGTACCAACACATCCTCCGAGAGCAACTTCTCCCAACCATCCAAGAACAGTTTGGTGACGAACAATGCCTTTTCCAGCATGATGGAGCACCTTGCCATAAGGCAAAAGTGATAACTAAGTGGCTCGGGGAACAAAACATCGAAAATTTGTGTCCATGGCCAGCAAACTCCCAGACCTTAATTCCATTGAGAACTTGTGGTCGATCCACAAAAGGCGGGTTGACAAACAAAAACCCACAAATTCTGACAAACTCCAAGCATTGATTATGCAAGAATGGGCTGCCATCAGTCAGGATGTGGCCCAGAAGTTAATTGACAGCATGCCAGGGCGGATTGCAGAGGTCTTGAAAAAGAATGGTCAACACTGCAGATATTGACTCTTTGCATAAAGTTAATGTAATTATCAATAAAAGCCTTTGACACTTATGGAATGCTTGTAATTATACTTCAGTATACCATAGTAACATCTGACAAAAATATCTAAAAACTCTGAAGCAGCAAACTTTGTGAAGAACAATACTTGTGTCATTCTCAAAACTTTTGACCACGACTGATAGGTGTGGTTATATAGTCTTATATGTGATTTCAGCAGGTGATAACGGATGTAACTTTCAATGGAAGAGATGGTTCCTGTGTTGAGTCGGACAGACCAGGTCTAGTGGGTTTTCACTTCTGTCTTTCACCCACAATAGAGCCGAGTGTCAGACAGGGTATTTCTGTCCGACCAACTGACTGGTTTCATCATGACCACCGAGCTCTCTGGGGCTGGCTGTTTGCACTTTCAAAATAACACATACGCATGAGCACATAGAGAAGTTTACACACACACACACACACACACACACACACACACACACACACACACACTCAACCCCATCAGATAACCCCACATTTGCAAATGAACATACATACCACACACCTGCCTCAAGCTTTCATATACACACACATAACACACATAACCCAAGCATTCCCTTTTAGCTATTGTTCCTGTTTATCAGGAAAAGTCACCACACTTCTGAGCATCTGCCTAGCAAAGGAAAATTGGTTATGTGAAAGTTCCCAGAACATTTGTTAGGTTGCGGCAAAGGTTGTCATAACACAAAAACTGTCCAGTCGTGCTGACGACTATAGAATGTTTGTATAAAACATTCGCCTGATGTTGCAAGAATGTTCCTAGAACATATTGAATCTGTTCTTTAAATGATCACAGAATGTTTAATTAGGTTGTGGGAACAGTCTGGTGGGGACATTGTGCGGATATCACAAAATATATGTTCCCAAAACACAAAAACTGTCCCCACCAGAAAACATTACTGGTACATTGTTATTACATTACTTGGAAACCTGATGATAACTTTTGGGGAATGTTCTGTGGTGGTTGTTACAGATGTTGTGTTACAGATGTTGTGCACAACATTTTAGTGAATGTTAGGAGAACATTCCAAGGACATTTCATTTAAAACATAAAAAATATATACTGAACAAAAATATAAATGCAAAATGTAAAGTTTTGGTCCCATGAAATAAAAGATCCCAGAAATGTTCCATACGCACAAAAAGCTTATTTCTCTCTAATTTTGTGCACAAATTTGTTTACATCCCTGTTGGTGAGCATTTCTCCTTTGCCAAGATAATCCATCTACCTGACAGGTGTGGCATATCAAGAAGCTGATTAAACAGCATGATCATTACACAGGTGCACTTTGTGCTGGTGACAATAAAAGTCCACTCTAAAATGTGCAGTTTTCCAACACAACACAATGCCACAGATGTCTCATGTTTTGAGGGAGTGTGCAATTGGCATACTGACTGCAGGAATGTCCACCAGAGCTGTTGCCAGAGAACTGAATGTTAATTTCTCTGCCATAAGCCACCTCCAACATCGTTTTAGAGAATTTGGCAGTACGTCCAACCAGCCTCACAATCGCAGACCATGTGTAACAATGCCAGCCCAGGACCTCCACATCTGGCTTCTTCACCTGCGGGATCATCTAAGACTAGCCACCCGGACAGCTGATGAAACTGGGGGTTTGCATAACCGAAGAATTTCTGCACAAACTGTCAGAAACCGTCTCAGGGAAGCTCATCTGCGTGCTCGTCGTACTCACCATGGTCTTGACCTGACTGCAGTTCGGCGTCGTAACCGCCTTCAGTGGGCTAATGCTCACCTTCGATGGCCACTGGCACATTGAATAAGTGTTCTCTTCACTGATTAATCTCAGTTTCAACTTTACCAGGTAGATGGCAGACAGAGTGTATGGTATGGGCAGGTATAAGCTACGGACAACGAACACATTTCATTTTATCGATGGCAATTTGAATGCACAGAGATACGGTGACGAGATCCCGAGGCCCATTGTCGTACCATTCATCCGTCGCCATCACCTCATGTTTCAGCATGATAATGCATGGCCTCATGTCGCAATGAAGCATTGATTCCGATTGGTCAGACCAGCTTTGAATAGACCTATAGGGAGGGAGGAGCAAAATGGAGTTGTGATCTGATTTGCCTAAGGGAGGGCGAGGGAGGGCCTTGTAGGCATCTCAAAAGGGGGAGTAGCAGTGGTCCAGTGTTTTTCCAGCGCGAGTACTACAGTCAATGTGTTGATAGAACTTCAGTAGCGTTTTCCTCAAATTTTCTTCGTAAAAATCCCCAGCTACAATAAATGCAGCCTCAGGATATGTGGTTTCCAGTTTGCATAAAGTCCAGTGTAGTTCCTTGAGGGCCGTCGTGGTATCGGCTTGAGGGGGAATATACACGGCTGTGAATATAACCTCTTGGAGGTAATACGGTCAGCATTTGATTGTAAGATATTCTAGGTCGGGTGAACAAAAGGACTTGAATTTCTGTATGTTATCATAATCACACAACTCTGTTCCTGGAGAGTTCTTTATTGCTGTCTGTGCGATGTACTGAGAACCCAGCTGGCTGTATGGACGGGGACAGTATATCCCGGGAGAGCCATGATTCCATGAAACAGAGTATGTTACAGTCCCTGATGTCTCTCTGGAAGGAGATCCTCGCCCTGAGCTCGTCTACTTTATTGTCCAGAGACTGAACATTAGCGAGTAATATACTCGGAAGCGGTGGATGGTGTGCATGCCTCCTGAGTCGGAATAGTAGTCCACTCTGAATACCTCTTCTCCGCCGGCGGCGTCTTGGAGTAGCCTCTGGGATTAGTTCAATTGCCCAAAGGATCCAATTCGGGAAAGTCGTATTCCTGCTCGTAATGCTGGTGAGTTACCGCCGCTCTGATATCCAAAGGTAATTTCCGGCTGTATGTAATAACACAAAAAACGTTCTGGGCTAATAATGTAAGAAATAACACACAAAAAATATAATAATACTGCAAAGTTGCTTTGGAGCTAGAAGCAGAGCTGCCATGTCTGTCTGCGCCATCTTTCCATTTACATAAGTATTCAGACCCTGCTTGGCACACCTGTATTTGGGGAGTTTCTTTCATTCTTCTCTGCAGATCCTCTCAAGCTCTGTCAGGATGGATGGGGAGCGTCGCTGCGCAGCTATTTTCAGGAGTATAGTGCCTTCGGAAGCTATTCAGACCCCTTGACCTTTTCCACATTTTGATACGTTACAGCCTTATTCTAAAATTGATTAAATAAATCAATTTCCTCAGCAATCTACACACAATACCCCATAATGACAAAGCGAAAACAGATTTTTGGAAATGTTTGCTAATGTATTAAAAACAAAAAACAGAAATACCTTATTTACATAAGTAGTCAGACCCTTTGCAATGACACTCGAAATTGAGCTCAGGTGCATCCTGTTTCCATTGATCATCCTTGAGATGATTCTACAACTTGATTTGAGTCCACCTGTGGTCAATTCAATTGATTGGACATGATTTGGAAAGTCACACACCTGTCTATACAGTGGGGAGAACAAGTATTTGATACACTGCCGATTTTGCAGGGTTTCCTACTTACAAAGCATGTAGAGGTCTGTACTTTTTATCATAGGTACACTTCAACTGTGAGAGACGGAATCTAAAACAAAAATCCAGAAAATCACATTGTATGATTTTTAAGTAATTAATTTGCATTTTATTGCATGACATAAGTATTTGATACATCAGAAAATCAGAACTTAATATTTTGTACAGAAACCTTTGTTTGCAATTACAGAGATCATACGTTTCCTGTAGGTCTTGACCAGGTTTGCACACACTGCAGCAGGGATTTTGGCCCACTCCTCCATACAGACCTTCTCCAGATCCTTCAGGTTTCGGGGCTGTCGCTGGGCAATACGGACTTTCAGCTCCCTCCAAAGATTTTCTATTGGGTTCAGGTCTGGAGACTGGCTAGGCCACTCCAGGACCTTGAGATGCTTCTTACGGAGCCACTCCTTAGTTGCCCTGGCTGTGTGTTTTGGGTCGTTGTCATGCTGGAAGACCCAGCCACGACCCATCTTCAATGCTCTTACTGAGGGAAGGAGGTTGTCGGCCAAGATCTCGCGATACATGGCCCCATCCATCCTCCCCTCAATATGGTGCAGTCGTCCTGTCCCCTTTGCAGAAAAGCATCCCCAAAGAATGATGTTTCCACCTCCATGCTTCACGGTTGGGATGGTGTTCTTGGGGTTGTACTCATCCTTCTTCTTCCTCCAAACACAGCGAGTGGTGTTTAGACCAAAAAGCTCTATTTTTGTCTCATCAGACCACATGACCTTCTCCCATTCCTCCTCTGGATCATCCAGATGGTCATTGGCAAACTTCAGACGGGCCTGGACATGCGCTGGCTTGAGCAGGGGGACCTTGCGTGCGCTGCAGGATTTTAATCCATGACGGCGTAGTGTGTTACTAATGGTTTTCTTTGAGACTGTGGTCCCAGCTCTCTTCAGGTCATTGACCAGGTCATGCCGTGTAGTTCTGGGCTGATCCCTCACCTTCCTCATGATCATTGATGCCCCACAAGATGAGATCTTGCATGGAGCCCCAGACCGAAGGTGATTGACCGTCATCTTGAACTTCTTCCATTTTCTAATAATTGCGCCAACAGTTGTTGCCTTCTCACCAAGCTGCTTGCCTATTGTCCTGTAGCCCATCCCAGCCTTGTGCAGGTCTACAATTTTATCCCTGATGTCCTTACACAGCTCTCTGGTCTTGGCCATTGTGGAGAGGTTGGAGTCTGTTTGATTGAGTGTGTGGACAGGTGTCTTTTATACAGGTAACAAGTTCAAACAGGTGCAGTTAATACAGGTAATGAGTGGAGAACAGGAGGGCTTCTTAAATAAAAACTAACAGGTCTGTGAGAGCCGGAACTCTTACTGGTTGGTAGGTGATCAAATACTTATGTCATGCAATAAAATGCAAATGAATTACTTAAAAATCATACAATGTGATTTTCTGGATTTTTGTTTTAGATTCCGTCTCTCACAGTTGAAGTGTACCTATGATAAAAATTATAGACCTCTACATGCTTTGTAAGTAGGAAAACCTGCAAAATCGGCAGTGTATCAAATACTTGTTCTCTCCACTGTATAAGGTCCCACAGTTGACAGTGCATGTCAGAGCAAAAACCAAGCCATGAGGTAGGGGACCAAGAACCCGATGGTCACTCTGACAGAGCTCTAGACTTCCTCTGTGGAGATGGGAGAACCTTCATTATGGGGTATTGTGTGTAGATTGATGAGGGGGGAAAAAACAATTTGATCTATTTTAGAATAAGGCTGTAACCTAACAAAATGTGGAAAATGTCAAGGGGTCTGAATACTTTCCGAAGGCACTGTATACACAACCGGTCAAAAGTTTTAGAACACCTACTCATTCAAGGGTTTTTCTTAATTTTTACTATTTTCTACATTGTAGAATAATAGTGAAGACATCAAAACTATGAAATAACACATATGGAATTATGTAGTAACCACAGAAGTATATATTTTTGTATTTGAGATTCTTCAAATAGCCACCATTTGCCTTGATCACAGCTTTGCAGGCAGACAAATGCATCACTGGATAGAGAGGAAAAGTAGTACATTGTCAACAACAGACTTGGTATTGAGCAGATAGTTTGGTGATTGATAGCAGAATGCCTCACTGAATGGCAATGATCTCTCACTGGTCTGTTTCATCTCGTGTCTGTCCTTGACAATTAGACTGTCTTTGTTACTCTCCCACAGTAGCATGTGCATGCACACTCATGTGCATGTCTCACTCTAACACACACACACACACACACACACACATACATAAATACATATCCTCTCAATATACTTATTACAGACTATGCTAAAACCCTACACCCCAACCCGAGTACTCTGTTCTGCCACCTGTTCTCTTAGCCCTAGTGGATGGCAGCTCCTGCTCAGTCCAGTCAAAGCTCTTTTCTGTCCTGGCACCCCAATGGTGGAACCAGCTCCTGCCCATCTTCGGGAAACATCTGAAACCCTACCTCTTCAAATAGTATCTTAAATATTCGCACAGCACCCCCCCTCGCACCCCCTCCTCAGCATCTGCTAAATGACTAAAATGTAAACGTTAAGAAGTTACATACAAATTAGGTGATCAAATGGATGGGGTAACAAACTCCTTCCACCTTTTATTATCGATGACAGAGCTGTAATAGTGAAAGTACTGAGTTGACTGATTGTCTGTACTGTGTGTGTTCCAGCTGGCCAGACACAGCAAGTTCCTGCAGCAGAGCTTGAGGCCGCCAGCGGCGGGACTACTGCTGAACGATGACACGGAGGGAGACGCCGCCCTCGGTTACTATGCCAACCACACCGCTCAGATCGAGGTAGACCTCATCCGGACAGTCTTCATCCTATTATCCCAACCCAGTGGCTAAAACTGGTTGAAATTACATCATATTGCTGTTCTTTCAACCAGTTGTTGGTTGTAATGACACCAATTCATCCAGTTTTGCTCGCTGGAAAGCTACAGGCCTCTTCTGCTCTTTTTTTTGCTATTTGATGCTATAACAGGCTATTAGATAATATACCCCTGACAGTACAGCTACTTCTGTACCTGGTCTTAGGGGTATCATATTTTTCTGACTCTTTGGTGGCTTAATCAGCACTGAATCCAAAAGGGTTATGTAATGCTAGCAAGTGTACATGTCAGTAGATAACCAGGGGTAATGTCTATGATTTAGTGACTGTGGTCTAAACGTCTACTGTTTGTCCGATTGATGCTAGAACATGCTATAGATATACCCCTGAAAGTACAGCTACTTTTGTTCTTGGTCTTAGGGGTATCATATCATGTTCTTTCCTCAGATTGTGCGTCACGACCGCTCCATGGAGCAGATAGTTTTTCCGGTGCCCAACATCTGTGAGTACCTGACAGAGGAGTCCAAGATGCGCGTGTTCACTACAACCGAGAGGGATGACCAGGGCAGCAAGGTCAACGACTTCTTCACGCAGTTTGACGACCTCTACAACGAGATGCGCTGGCAGAAGAAGATACGCAGTAAGATACAAAGTTTTACACGGATTAACAATGCTAGTGGTGAAATAATGGCTACATTGTGATACAGTGACATTAACCAGTTGTCCCGTGTCTCTGTAGATAACCTGGCTCTGTTCTGGTTCTCTCGGCACATCTCTCTGTGGGGAAGCATCTCTTTCTACCTGGCCGTTCTAGTCAACGTGGCCGTGGCTCTCTTCTACCCCTTTGGAGATGACGGAGATGAAGGTGAGATGTCCTACTGGCATAAAGCAGGGTCTTATTCATAAGGGACAGTTCGAAATTTACTGGGTTAGGGGATCTGGTCCAAAATATTTCCCTGATTTTACATTTGCTATTTTGCAGGTTTTACTATATAATGTCTTCTGCTTGCATGTGCCTCCCCTATCAAGGTGTTTTTGTACACTTTTCCGCACGCTTAATATACCACAGGTCAATATAGTCTACCAGTCAACGGTCTATCCTGCCCTCAATTCATAGTGACAATAGTGGTAGTTGGATTGTTTGTTCAGACCTGCAATAGGTTAACTAGCAATCATACCAAACATAAAATAATTCAAATCTGCACCAATTTTCTATATAAATCCAGAAGATGGAGGAATAGCTGATAGGCAGTGGAGAGGTTTGGTGCGTCATTGCGCTTGAAATAACAGTGAAGACACGCAGCTCAAAAAGCTCCCTTATTGATCTTGTTTTAGGGTCAATAAAATTATCCTACAACACCACAATCCAATGAGTAATTGCATAATTGTATTCTAGTGAGTACTATTGAGCACAATTCTACTCTAGTCTGTAAACTGCAGTGAAAATGTCATCTGAATAATGTCTCAAAAGCCCTGTTATTTGAATGTTTGATTCCATTCATTCCATTTGGATCAGCTGTGGGTCTGTTCTCGACAGGTTACAGAAAGGCACAGTAGCAGGCCAGTCTGGCTGTATTTTTACTTCTGATACTGATGCGCTGTCTGTTGCCGATCATCATTCTCCCAAGTCGTCCTATATAGTGTGGTCACATAGGCCTATGCTCCCAGCAGGCCCAGTTTTTCTGGCCTCCTTTCCGATCCGAGCAGCTATTCCTCGACCTAGAACCTAACACTTCAATATAGGCAAAATATTTGTCATTTAACTTTTTTAATGTATTCCCTTTTGTGTGTGGCATAAACACAACTAATTACAATGTTTTAATCTGATTAGACTACTTCAAAGGTCTCATGTAGGCTATGTGTGCATGTTCATCCACTCCACTGTAATTTCAGCATCCAAACTGTGCAACCGCCAAAACCATGCTGAAGTGGTAAAGTCGATATCCACCTTTATAAACACAGGGTTGCTACAGTTTCAAAAAAAATACAGTACAAGAGAAGGGTCAAGTGAAAAGATTTTTTGCGTTGGTGAGGGGGGTGCATTTTTATTTCAAACTGTCCCTTAGGGCACATGATAGCAAAAACGTTTTCAAGCGGAACACGAAAACAAGCATTTCTTATTGCATAAGTTTAGGTAGTCCCTACTTGTTTTTGGTCTGTTTTCTTCCGTTTGATGCCTAATAACCACGACACAGTAGTTCCCAAATGGTCCCAAGTGGCTTTGGAATCCACTAGTGAGTTAGACAGTTTCTCTTAGGTGAAGACTAAAGCCTGGATTGTGGCTGGAAACATGACTGTTCATTTCATGGTAGTAATAGAGAAATCTGAAGGCTTTAGGTAGATCACGATGCAAAAAGTTAAGCAAGGAAGGAAAGTCCCAATCTTGTATGGCGAATGCTGTGTGACCATGTGCGTGATAATCACAGTAAATGTTGGTTAATGTGCTAAGGAGACAGTGTTTAAGAGATGCACAAGGTCAGTGGTTTGGATATCACCAGTCTTCCCTTTGGGCCATTGTTTGACGTTCTCCACTATTGTGACTGTCTCTCGAGAGGCTGAGAACCTAGAGTGTTGTGCCAAGTGCAAGCCTGGTCCCAGATCTGTTTGTGCGTTCTTGCCAGTTGGTATTTCCCACTTAGCTATAGCCTTGTCCCCAACTGGCAAGACAGCACAAACAGACCAGGCTATAATGAAGCACTCGGCTCTGTTGCATGATACATGAACCCAAATGCTTCAAATGCCACCTCTCTGAACAGTGTGAATGTCTTCATCTGTATTTGTTGTTGATTTTTGTTTGTTTACTCCGTCCCCAGGCATCCTGCCCCCCTTTGTGTCCATCCTGCTGTGGGTGGCGTTGGTGGTGTGCACCGCCATGCTCTTCATCCTGCCCAAACCAGGGAGTGTCCGGCCCTTCCTGGTCTCTGTCATACTGCGCTCTATTTACACACTGGGCCTGGGCCCGACCCTGCTGCTACTGGGGGCCGCCAATGTAAGCAAAGTCAACTACGGACAAGATTATTTTAAGTAAATGTATAGTGTAATACTAACAACTCCTGTTTTGTCATCTCAGCGTCGTCATCTATTGAAGCCATCTTTCAGTCCTCCTCTTTCCTCTCCTCTCTCCAGCTCCTAAATAAGATGGTGTTCCTGGTGAGCTTCGTGGGCAACCAGGGGACGTTCACGCGGGGCTACAAGGCGGTGGTCATGGACATGCCCTTCCTCTACCACGTGGGCTATGTTATCGTCTGTATGCTGGGCCTCTTCGTCCACGAGTTCTTCTACAGCTTCCTGGTTAGTGGTAACAATCTCTGCAGCATTTCACTTAAAAAATACAATAACTTTATATTATTGTTACTCATTTATCATTTAAAAAATCAATTCAATTCAATGAACTGGATTCATTGAACTTGAAAGTACTTGGTTATTATTCGGAAAACATAAAATGGACGTTTGACAGTGACCTTGATTAAGTCTGGATCTTTCTTGGTGCCATGTGATGCGGGCAGGTGGTTATAGTGTGGTTCCATCATTTAGATTCATGGTCTCCTTGTTCCTCCACTTGAACCAGGTTTTTAAGACACAGCTGCAGTTGCAGAAAGCCACATCCTCTCCTACTTTTGCTATTGCAGCTTGGTAGTTATGTGATGTCTGGTTCCTTTACAGCTCTCCTAAAGCTGTGTGTGTCCATGTGTGTGCCTGTGTCTGCATCTGTCTGACTGTGTGTCTGTCCCCCCCAGCTTTTTGACCTGCTGAACCGCGAGGAGACCCTGCTGAACGTGATCAAGAGCGTGACACGTAATGGGCGCTCCATCGTCCTCACGGCTGTGCTGGCCCTCATTCTGGTCTACCTCTTCTCCATCGTGGGCTTCCTCTTCCTCAAGGACGACTTCCTCATGGACGTGCAACGTCTGCCAGGTCAGTACCCATAGACGCCCCCTCGTCGTCAGCCCACAGCCACCCCCACCTCACTTCCTTGGCCTCTACAGTCGTGGTCAAAAGTTTTGAGAATGACACAAGTATTGGTCTTCACAAAGTTCGCTGCTTCAGTGTTATGAGATATTTTTGTCAGATGTTACTATGGTATATTGAAGTATAATTACAAGCATTCCATAAGTGTCAAAGGCTTTTATTGACAATTACTTCTTTTTCAAGACCTCTGCAATCCGCCCTGGCATTCTGTCAATTAACTTCTGGGCCACATCCTGACTGATGGCAGCCCATTCTTGCATAATCAATGCTTGGAGTTTGTCCAAATTTTGTTTGTCCACCCGCCTTTTGAGGATCGACCACAAGTTCTCAATGGGATTAAGGTCTGGCGAGTTTCCTGGCCATGGAACAAAACATCCAAAATGTGGATGTTTTGTTCCCCGAGCCACTTAGTTATCACTTTTGCCTTATGGCAAGGTGCTCCATCATGCTGGAAAAGGCATTGTTTGTCACCAAAATGTTATTGGATGGTTGGGAGAAGTTGCTCTCGGATGATGTGTTGGTACCATTCTTTATTCATGGCTTTGTTCTTAGGCAAAATTGTGAGTGAGCCCACTCCCTTGGCTGAGAAGCAATTTACACATGAATGGTCTCAGGATGCTTTACTGTTGGCATGACACAGGACTGATGGTAGCGCTCACCTTGTCTTCTCCGGACAAGGTGTTTTCCGGATGGCCCAAACAATCGGAAAGGGAATTCATCAGAGAAAATGACTTTACCCCAGTCCTCAGCAGTCCAATCCCTGTACCTTTTGCAGAATATCAGTCTGTCCCTGATGTTTTTCCTGGAGAGAAGTGGCTTCTTTGCTGCCCTTCTTGACACCAGGCCATCCTCCAAAGTCTTCGTCTCACTGTGCGTGCAGATGCACTCACACCTGCCTGCTGCCATTCTTGAGCAAGCTCTGCACTGGTGGTGCCCCGATCCCGCAGCTGAATGAACTTTAGGAGACGGTCCTGGCGCTTGCTGGACTTTCTTGGGCGCCCTGATGCCTTCTTCACAACAATTGAACCTCTCTCCTTGAAGTTCCGATAAATGGTTGATTTAGGTGCAATCTTACTAGTGTAACAGTGTTGCTTCCGTCCCTCTCCTCGCCCCTACCTGGGCTTGAACCAGGGACCCTCTGCACACATCGACAACAGTCACCCTCGAAGCACCGTTACCCGTCGCTCCACAAAAGCCGCGGCTCAGCTCGAGTGACGTCACCGATTGAAACGCTACTAGTGCGGACCGCTAACTAGCTAGCCATTTCACACTGGTTACACTAGCAGCAATATCCTTGCCTGTGAAGCCCTTTTTGTGCAAAGCAATGATGACGGCACATGTTTCCTTGCAGGTAACCATGGTTAACAGAGGAAGAACAATGATTTCAAGCACCACCCTCCTTTTAAAGCTTCCAGTCTGTTATTCTAACTCAATCAACATGACAGAGTGATCTCCAGCCTTGTCCTCGTCAACACTCTCACCTGTGTTAACGAGAGAATCACTGACATGATGGCAGCTGGTCCATTTTTGGCAGGGCTGAAATGCAGTGGATATGTTTTTGGGGGATTAAGTTCATATTCATGGCAAAGAGGGACATTGCAAATTAATTGCAATTCATCTGATCACTCTTCATGACATTCTGGAGTATATGCAAATTGCCATCATCAAAACTGAGGCAGCAGACTTTGTGAAAATTAGTATTTGTGTAATTCTCAAAACTTTTGACCATGACTGTATACTTTACCCTAGGTCTCTGCACTTTAACCCCTAGTTCAATTAGTACCGGTACCCAATGTTCCTCAACCCCTATATTACCCTAGGTCTCTGACCGTTTACTCAGCTCTGTCGTCCCCGTGCTCCCCCGCACTACCCCACCCACCTCAGCCTGTCCTGCTGATCGCTGATATTGTCACTGCTCAGTGGAAGGTCCATGATCTCTGATGTTTTCCCCGAACACCTCTTACACTGGACTGTGGCCACATAGTCTCCCCATTAGGCCTGCCACCCACCCACACCTAACCGTCCCCCGTCAATACCCACACCTGACTGGCTGACTGGCCAATTCTATGTCCCTCGATCATGAGAACTTCCTCATACAGCCAGTATACAACCTGACCACAAACTAATAATGACGTCAGTGCAATCCATTTTGCCCACTGGGTAGTAGGGCTGGGCGATATATCGAATGAATTCAATTTATTCAAATATTTTTTTTTGCGCGATATTCCAAATGCCTGAATCACAGAATCTAGGTTATTTTTATTTTTCGTTTTTATGAGTGTTTATGTCTGCTTGTTCTCATGTTGTCTTTTTGGTCTCGTTCGCTCCTTCTGTGCTGTGCACCTTCCCATTTACGCCAGAGATCTGTATATAATGACGAGATGCTCATGTCTCCACCCTAACAATGGGAGTCGTTGTCCCAAAGGCGGGAAGGCAGGCGACAAGCTTAGGTTGAAAATAAGCGCATAGAAACACATTAGGCTTATTTTGGACAGATTTTAGCGAGAGTGAAACCTCTCGCTTTGCCTCTTTCTCTGTGGTTTACATACAGTGAGGGAAAAAAGTATTTGATCCCCTGCTGATTTTGTACGTTTGCCCACTGACAAAGACATGATCAGTCTATAATTTTAATGGTAGGTTTATTTGAACATTGAGAGACAGACTTAGTACTTGGTGGCAAAACCCTTGTTGGCAATCACAGAGGTCAGACGTATCTTGTAGTTGGCCACCAGGTTTGCACACATCTCAGGAGGGATTTTGTTCCACTCCTCTTTGCAGAACTTCTCCAAGTCATTAAGGTTTCGAGGCTAAAAAAGGCTAAAAAAAAAAAGCAGACATTGAATATCCCTTTGAGCATGGTGAAATTATTAATTACACTATGTCATCACACCCAGTCACTAAAAATATATAGGTGTCTTTCCTAACTCAGTTGCCAGAGAGGAAGGAAACCGCTCAGGGATTTCACCATGAGGCCAATGGTGACTTTAACATTTACATTTTAGTCATTTAGCCGACGCTCTTATCCAGAGCGACTTACAGGAGCAATTAGGGTTAACTGCCTTGCTTAAGGGCACATCGACAGATTTTTCACCTAGTCGGCTCGGGGATTAGAACCAGCGACCTTTCAGTTACTGGCACAACCCTCTTACCCACTAAGCTACCTGCCGCCCTTTAAAACGGTTACAGAGTTTAATGGCTGTGATAGGAAAAAACTGAAGATGGATCAACAACATTGTAGTTACTCCACAATACTAACCTAAATGACAGAGTGAAAAGAAGGAAGCCTTGTACAGAATACAAATATTCCAAAACATGCAATATGGCACGAAAGTAAAACTGCAAAAAATGTGCCAAGAAATTAACTTTATGTCCTGAATACAAATCGTTATGTTTGGGGCAAATCCAACACATCACTGAATACCACTCTTCATATTTTCAAGCATGGTGGCAGCGTCATGTTATATGGGTATGCTTATCATTGGCAATGGAGTTTTTTAGGATAAAAATAAACCAAATAGAGCTAAGCACATGCAAAATCCTAAAGGAAAACCTGGTTCAGTCTGCTTTCCAACAGACACTGGGAGATGAATTCACCTTTCAGCAGGACAATAACCTAAAACACAAGGCCAAATATACACTAGAGCTGCTTACCAAGATGGCATTGAATGTTCCTGAGTGGCCTAGTTACAGTTTAGACTTAAATCGGCGTATAAATCTATGCGACTTCAAAATGTCTTTCTAGCAATGATCAACAACCAACTTGACAGAGCTTGAAGAATAAAACATATATATAATGTGCAATCCAGATGTGCAAAGCTCTTAGAGACTTACCCAGAAAGACTCACAGCTGTAATCGTTACCAAAGGTGATTCTAACATGTATTGACTCAGGGGTGTGAATACTTAAGTAGTCCTTTAAAGTATTTTTACTTAAGTTGTTTTTAGGGAGATCTGTACTTTACTTTACTATTTGTATTTTTGACAGGTTTTACTTTTACTCGACTACATTCCTAAAGAAAATCATATACTTTTTACTCCATCCATTTTCCTTGACACCCAAAGTTACTCGTTACATTTTGAATGCTTAGCAGGACAGGAAAATTGTCAGATTCACGCACTTATCAAGACAACATCCCTGGTCATCGCTACTGCCTCTGATCTGGCGGACTCACTAAACTCAAACGCTTCATTTGGGTTCTTTTTCCACATTTCTTAAAACACGTTTTCACTTAGTCCTTATGGGGTATTGTGTGTAGATGGGTGCGACCAACAATCACAAGGCACTGTACGTCAATACATCTTTGCATGCAGAATGGATAGCCTATGCCATTGCTCACTTCCCCATTTGGCTATGTGTGTGAGAGCTTTCCAGAGCATGTGTGCATGCATGCGAGAGTGTGGGCGTGTGTATGTGCTCTTGCGCAGCGCTCGGGCGGTCAGAGGGAGAGAACCTGCCAGCACATGTGCACCTGTTGCATAATCTGGAGCAGTGGCTGTGCAGCGCAGCACTCTCTTATGTAACCGGCTGGGCTGGGGGGTGGGTGAATGTGTGTGTCTCTGTCTGTGGGCTGAGCTGTCTGAGGGCACTGCAATTCTTAGTGCACATTTCGATAAATGAAAAAGACCTAGCTAAAAGACAGTCAACAGGGCTGAGATGGGTATAAACTAAAATCTCTTACGCAAAAAACGAGCTCCAGGCATGGACCCTAGACCGAATTGGTTGTCACAAAGTTGTCTCCAAGTCACTATTTGTGACCAATCAAATTGAGATGTTGTCACAAGTGGCCATGTTTACGTGCACACCAATATCCCGTTATTATTCGGGATACTCAATTATTCTGTTTTTGAGTTGATGCATATAAACATCATATCCCATTTTACAATAACCCGAAAAAGCTTGTGTCCCGGTTATGAGAAACCCGGATAAGATGCCTGGGATATTCTGATCTTCGATTGGATACTGTGGCATGTGAACATCTTATCCCGTTTACTGTTGTTTTTTGCGGTCAGTTTCACGCATATCATGGGTGTTGTGTGATGTTTTCATCTGATTGTCAAACATCACTTTAAAAAGTGCGCTATACCTGCACAGTTCGATCCACCATAATATTTCCATAATAATGTATTTTGCTGATACTCCGTACTGGACCATATAGCCTACTGGCTCAGGCTACTTTCACCCCTAATTTAGATACGTTTCTGCTTATAATTTCCAACATTTGGTAGGCCATATTTTAATTCAGGCCATTTGTTTGTCGACTATAGTTAGATACATGCAGCTTCTCTTCTGTTATAACTTGTTGCCCTGGAAGACTAAATACGCTAGTGTTCACCAAAATAATGTCTTACATTGATAGAATGAATGCATTAGTTATCTAGTTAACAACAGGAAAGTTGTCTGTTTCGTTTAGGGACCGGGGAGAAAACGCAATAACTTCAAAACAGTGGACAGATTGTTCCTGTGCAAAATTTCCAAATACCAACAGTTTGACCGGTTTTACGGAAATGAAAAGCTGAGAAAATGGTGAAACACGTTTCTGATTAGACTTCAGTTGGTCTTGGGTGCATATTATACAGTACATTTGGAAAGTATTCAGACCCCTTGACTTTTTCCACATTTTGTTACGTTACTGCCTTATTCTAAAATTGATTAAATAGTTTTTTCCCCTTGTCAATCTACACACAATACCCCATAATGAAAAAGAAAAAAATGGTTTTTAGAAATTTTAGCAAATGTATACAAAATATATAACTGAAATATTACATTGACTTAAGTATTCAGACCCTTTACTCTTTGTTGAAGCACCTTTGGCAGCGATTACAGCCTCAAGTCTTCTTGACGCTACAAGCTTGGCACACCTGTATTTGGGGAGTTTCTCCCATTCTTCTCTGCAGATCCTCTCAAGCTCTGTCAGGTTGGATGGGGAGCGTCGCTGCACAGCTATTTTCAGGTCTCTCCAGAGATGTTTGATTGGGTTCATGTCCGGGCTCTGGCTGGGCCACTCAAGGACATTCAGAGACTTGTCCCGAAGCCACTCCTGTGTTGTCTTGGCTATGTGCTTAGGGTCATTGTCCTGTTGGAAGCTGAACCTTCACCCCAGTCTGAGGTCCTGAGCGGTCTGGAGCAGGTTTTCATCAAGGATCTCTCTGTACTTTGCTCCTTTCATCTTTCCCTCAATCCTGACTAGTCTCCCAGTCCCTGCCGCTGAAAAACATCCCCACATCATGATGCTTCCAACACCATGCTTCACCGTAGGGATGGTGCCAGGTTTCATCCAAACCTGACGCTTGGCATTCAGGCCAAAGAGTTCAATCTTGGTTTCATCAGACCAGAGAATCTTATTTCTCATGGTCTGAGAGTCTTTAGGTGCCTTTTGGCAAACTCCAGACTTCCGTCTGGCCACTCTACCATAAAGGCCTGATTGGTGGAGTGCTGCAGAGATGTTTTTCCTTCTGGAAGATTCTCCCATCTCCACAGAGGAACTCTGGAGCTCTGTCAGAGTGACCATCGGGTTCTTGGTCACCTCCCTGACCAAGGCCCTTCTCCCCAGATTGCTCAGTTTGGCTGGGCGGCCAGCTCTAGGAAGAGTCTTGGTGGTTCCAAACTTCTTCCATTTAAGAATGATGGAGGCCACCGTGTTCTTGGGGACCTTCAATGCTGCAGACATTTTTTGTTACCCTTCCCCAGAGCTGTGTCTCGACACAATCCTTTCTCGGAGCTCTACGGACAATTCCTTCGACCTCATGGCTTGGTTTTTGCTCTGACATGCACTGTCAACTGTGGGACCTTATATAGACAGGTGTGTGCCTTTCCAAGTCATGTCCAATCAATTGAATTTACCACAGGTGGACTCCAATCAAGTTGTAGAAACATCTCAAGGATGATCAATGGAAACAGGATGCACCTGAGCTCAATTTTGAGTCTCATAGCAAAGGGTCTGAATACTTATGTAAATAAGGTATTTCTGTTTTTGTAGTTTTATAAATGTGCCAACATTTCTTCAAAACTGTTTTTGCTTTGTCATTATGGGGTATTGTGTGTAGATTGATGAGCAAATCAATTTTAGAATAAGGCTGTAATGTAACAATGTGGAAAAAGTCAAGGGGTCTGAATACTTTCCGAATGCACTGTATGTGGTTGAAATACTGTCTGCTTGCGTAACAGTCTCAAAGATAACACTGTACACGTGCATTCACATTTTCTCAAGAGATTTTCAAAGAAATAAATCAGATTTCTCCACTCCTGTTCCCAGGACAAAATTAACATTTGTATCATTTTACTGCAAGAAATGCATAATTCTGCAGGAGTTAATATTATATTAGGCTACATGTGAGAGGTTATTCGCCTACAGTCAGTGTCTAGATTTCAGTTACTATTCCAGTTAAGCCATATGAACTTCAATTAGGAAGATTCTGTTTATTCATAGATACAGGGATACACGTGAGCGGGATATCAAAGGTGCATGTAAGCAGCTTATCACGAATAAGACCTTAAGCGGGATATGAGCTACTATCCCGAATACTGTGTGCATGTAAACGTGGTCAATGTCATAACCAACCTTCTCACAACTTATTTGCAATGTTGTGACAACGTTATGTTTTAGTAGTGGAGAGGAGAGGGGAGCACCCTGCCATAGCTCCCCAGCTTCCCTACTCCCTGTTATGGTCTCAATGGTCCCTGGTCGTGACTCTCCAGCCCAGGCGTGGGCCTCCTCTCTCTGCCTGTCTCTCTCATTATCACGGTCAAACACTGTTGAGAAGGATATGAAGAGCCTGTTGAAATGTCATTAGTATTACCAAACACACACAGCCACCAGCCTGCATCTGCTGTTATGCTCTGGATACGCAACTACAGCTAATGTGATTCATGTTGGCTGGTTATGAATAGACAACAGGTCTATCCTCCATGACAAAAGGGGAATGTCCACTCCCTGTTTGGGTGCAACCTTTTAATAAAGTTTATAGATGATGAAATGTTGATGAGAACCTTCAAGCGTATTTTCTCTAGTAACCTGTGCAAAATAATTTCTGTATACAGTCCTATTCTTTTTTTTGTGTCATCATTCAGTTGAACTTGCTTATTTTCCTGCTTTTAGGGAAACTGGAAACACTAAAAGATGGCCGAGCTCCCTCCGACAAGTGTTTAAAAGACGGCTGCCCGGACTCCATACCCACGTCTGTCACCAGTAAGTTATTATCACCAAACTAAGCCACAAGTCTCTAAAATGACCCACTTAAATGGTATTCTCCCCTTGTCTCATTAACATTTTCCTCTGTGTAAAAGTGACAATGCTGCAGAGGCTTTGGAACTCTCCATGTCATTTACTTTTAGCCAACTAAAGAAGCTGTGTGTGTAGCCTGGGCAGGTCTGGGCAGGTCTAGGTCTGGGCAGGTCTAGGTCTGGGCAGGTCTAGGTCTGGGCAGGTCTAGGTCTGGGCAGGTCTAGGTCTGGGCAGGTCTAGCGGTCTATAGCCGCTGCCTCGGGAGCACATGTACTAAGGACCGTTGCCAACATGGGTTGGAATCCGGCCCACTGCTCTTTCAGCACTTTCTCCCCTACTTTTCACCTCTATCGCTCTCTGTCCAAAAACATGCAAAATATACAGTACCAGTCAAAAGTTTGGACACACTTACTCATTCCAGGGTTTTTCTTTCTTTTTACTATTTTCTACGTTGTAGAATAATAGTGAGACACCAAAACTATAACATAACACATATGGAATCATGTAGTAACCAAAAAAGTGTTAAACAAATCAAAATATATTTTAGATTTGAGATTCTTCAAAGTAGCCACCCCTTGCCTTGATGACAGCTTTACACACTCTTGGCATTCTCTCAACCAGCTTCATGACGTAGTCTCCTGGAATGCATTTCAATTAACAGGTGTGCCTTGTTAAAAGTTAATTTGTGGGATTTCTTTCCTTCTTAATGCATTTGAGCCAATCAGTTGTGTTGTGACAAGGTAGGGGTGGTATACAGAAGATAACCCTGTTTGGTAAAAGACCAAGTCCATATTATGGCAAGAACAGCTCATATAAGCAAAGAGAAATGACAGTCCGTCATTACTTTAAGACATGAAGGTCAGTCAATCCGGAACATTTCAAGAACTTTGAACGTTTCTTCAAGTGCAGTCGCAAAAACCATCAAGCGCTATGATGAAACTGGCTCTCATGAGGACCGCCACAGGAAAGGAAGACCCAGAGTTACCTCTGCTGCAGAGGATAAGTTCATTAGAGTTAACTGCACCTCAGATTGCAGCCCAAATAAATACTTCACAGAGTTCAAGTCACAGACACATCTCAACGCAGAGTAGGTGAACAGAGTAGGTGAACAGATGATCGCCGCATGTGTGGTTCCCACCATGAAGCATGGAGGAGGCGGTGTGATTGTGTGGGGATGCTTTGCTGGTGACACTGTCTGTTATTTATTTAGAATTCAAGGCACACTTAACCAGCATGGCTACTACAGCATTCTGCAGCGATACGCCATCCCATCTGGTTTGCGCTTAGTCAGACTATCATTTGTTTTTCAACAGCACAATGACCCAACACACCTCCAGGCTGTGTAAGAGCTATTTGACCAAGAAGGAGAATGATGCAGTGTTGCATCAGGTGACCTGGCCTCCACAATCACCCGACCTCAACCCAATTGAGATGGTTTGGGATGAGTTGGACCGTGGAGTGAAGGAAAAGCAGCCAACAAGTGCTCAGCATATGTGGGAGCTCCTTCCAGACTGTTGGAAAAGCATTCCAGGTGAAGCTGGTTGAGAGAATGCCAAGAGTGTGCAAAGCTGTCATCAAGGCAAAGGGTGGCTGCTTTGAAGAATCTCAAATATAACATATTTTTATTTGTTTAACACTTTTTTTGTTACTACATGATTCCATATGTGTTATTTCATAGTTGTGATGTCTTCACTATTATTCTACAATTAGAAAATAATAAAAAATTAACAAAATTCCTTGAATGAGTAGGTGTGTCCAAACCTTTGGCTGGTACTGTATTATTATTTTTTTAGGCCATGTGACATGAACAGCCAACCACTTGTCCTTATCATGAATGCTTTATCTAACAGCATTTGGCACATGTGCACATGGAGCCCCAGACTCAATAGGACTCATTTCCTGTGACAGTGGTTTCTAATCAGACCTTGGCTAGTTCAGTCAGTTCTCAGTCCTTAGCATTCAGTAGCCCTCTAGGTGTGTACTTGTTCTGGGAGCTGTGTAAATGTGAAGTGTTGGCTACCTCTCCAGTCAGTTAGCCTATGGAAGGTTCCACACTGAGGCATTGGCTGAGGAAGGGTGTTGAGATATAAGGTGTTAGTGGCAGGACGTTAAAGCAGCATCCTGGAAAGGGAGAAGCAGAGGGGATGACTCATCGTACTCATCTTTGTTCTCCAGCCCAGTGTTTGTCCATGGATCACAAGCACTTCAGGGGCCTCTACACGTGACCTAACCCACTCCTCTTTCCATGCTATTTCTATCCCTCCATCTCTGGCTATTTTTTCAGCCTCTCAATCTCTCTCTTGCTTTTTTCTTTACACCCCCCTCCCTCTATTTCTTTCATTTTTTTTCTGTCACGTAGAGGGGTCACATCATCCCATGTGTTCCTTTGTTTAAACTCTTTCATCCTGTGTTGAAGTCCCACATCTACTATTGTGAAGGGATTTCAACCTGTGCAGGTTTTAGAATTTTGTCAGAATGTTTTTTAATTATAAATGTGTCACTCATTGTCAGGAAGATCTAGGACACTACCACCTTTGTTGTGTACATCTATCATTAGTTTCGTACACACATATACATACCTCATGGCTGAATGTTTTGCTGTGTGTGTGTGTCCAGTGATGGTGGGGGGGGACGATGGGACGGAGCGTGTGTGTGACACTCTGCTCATGTGTATCGTGACGGTGCTGAACCAGGGCCTGAGGAACGGAGGGGGAGTGGGAGACGTGCTGAGGAAGCCTTCCAAAGACGTGAGTGACATGGTCCAATCAAACAATCAATCTGTATATCAATGAACCAGTCAGCCAGTAATTGATGGATGGGGGGGATGGATTGACTGTTTGTTTTACAAAAAATATAGAAAACAAAAGGCCATCAACTCTTTTTCATAATGATGGTGATGGCAATTATAATTATAACGATGTTATTAATTGGGATGATGATTATGACGATGCTGAGTATGATGACTTGTATAGTGATACAACTTTTCATGATGATGATGCTGATGAAATCACTTTTTCATTGTTTCTTACCGGTCCACTCATTAACCAGGATCCTCTGTTTGCGGCCCGTGTGGTGTATGACCTACTGTTCTTCTTCATTGTCATCATCATCGTCCTAAACCTGATCTTCGGCGTCATCATCGATACGTTCGCCGACCTGAGGAGCGAGAAACAGAGGAAGGAGGAGATACTGAAGACCACCTGCTTCATCTGTGGTGTGTACACAGCCCTACCTATCACTTCATAACTCCACATAGCACTACATAACACTATGTAGCACTACATAGAACTACATGGCACTATAGAGCAACACAAAACACTGCACAGCACTACATAACAGTACATAGCACTACATAACAGTACATAGCACTACATAACAGTACATAGCACTACATAACAGCACATAGCATTACATAACAGTACATCGCACTACATAGCAGAGAAATACAAATAGTACAGTTCTGTTGCTTTATTTGTTACCCTCCTGCGCGAACTGTCAGGTTTTTTGTATCATCTTGATGCAAATTCAGTAAATAGTGTAATTCTACTGTACATTTCTTGCATATTGCAACTTTGATAGCAATACTCATTCGACTGTCTTGGAATGTTAGAAAAAAAATCTAACTTGCTGTACTGTGCTTGCTGCCTGTAGATATCAGACATTACTATGTGCTGTAGATATACAACAAGACAGGATAGAGGCTCTAAAATATGGTTAAGAACACCAAAGAAACAGCAGGATAAGACTGAAAGGTGAAGGGAATTGGTGTATCAGAGTGTATAAGTAGTGTTTCACCCCTCTCAGGGTTGGAGAGGGATAAATTCGACAACAAGACAGTGTCATTTGAGGAGCACATCAGGTCGGAACACAACATGTGGCACTACCTGTACTTCCTGGTTCTGGTGAGGGTGAAGGACCCCACGGAGTACACAGGCCCCGAGAGCTACGTGGCCCAGATGATCAAGGTGGGTAGTTAGTTAGCTATCTCCTCCATGCTCAACACGTCTTTACCTGAACACACAGGGTCTGTGTTGCATGATGGAAGGGTGTGTGTATTTTATCACCAAGGTACTGGTGATGCAATGATGAGTCAGGATTTTATACTTGAGCCCCTATGTTGAATGTGAAAACAGTGTTGGAACGTTAAAATCAGACCTCTTACACACACAAACACACAGTTTGTCCTGGCAGTGTATATGTATGCAGTAGCTGTAGCGTCTCAGTGTGTGTTCCGCCTCCTCCTCTTTGTCCTCCGCAGCCAGACACAGTGTTCCAGTCTGACAGTGAACCCCCAGCCTCTGCAGCAGACTCAGCCAAAAAAAAGAGAGAAAAAAAACACCCAAAACGTGACTGAGCCACACACCCCTTCCCCCTGCCCAGCATCAGTCTCCCTCTCTTCCCTCTTTTCTCTTCCTCTCCTTTTAATTATCTTCTCAGACTTGGTTATAAAGCTACAGTGCAGTACTTCTCTCAGGTTTCACAGAAACTAGTGACTGCTACTATGATACTCTGACCTTCTCCCCTCTAGGGTTGTAGTAGTGTGATACTCTGACCTTCTCCCCTCTAGGATTGTAGTAGTGTGATACTCTGACCTTCTCCCCTCTAGGGTTGTAGTAGTGTGATACTCTGACCTTCTCCCCTCTAGGATTGTAGTAGTGTGATACTCTGACCTTCTCCCCTCTAGGGTTGTAGTAGTGTGATACTCTGACCTTCTCCCCTCTAGGATTGTAGTAGTGTGATACTCTGACCTTCTCCCCTTTAGGGTTGTAGTAGTGTGATACAGTCATATAAAGGGTGGAGGCATCAGCTCACTGTATGGTAATGAGTGCCGCAACCTGTCTGGAAGAGAAGCAATAAAGAGGAGCTTTTATGTATGGGGTAGGTATTATGATGCAATTATAATGCATCGTTAGGCTTGTCATGAGCATGAATAACCCCCTCATAATGCCTTATAATCATCTCATAATGATCCTGACTAATACCAGCGATTTTGAATCTGTTGAAACAAAGAGATACTTAACATATGATATGCCTTGTTATAAGACATTATAAAAGCTGATAGATGATTATAACGCATTATAAAGCATTATAGCTGGATGCTTTAAGTAAAGTCGTTTTAGATGGTTGCCAAGAGGTTAATGGATTCAAACATCATTGTGGTGATTTACATGATTACATAATGGGAGATCAGGGATGATTGTATAATGATGCAGATTTTTGCATAACAAATAGTTGACAACTGAATCTATTTTAGGATGTTTTAAAGAAGTGATGCGTCCTCTTCTGACGGCCAATCAGTAAAAGGTACTAGTGCATGGTGAATATTTTTATGTTGGGCCTATAAGCACTGTGATTGGCAGAAAACGACAACAGCCTGGATTTATAGACAATAATCAGTCCCGGATCTGTATCTCTTCTAAACAATATAAGATCAAGATCTGTGTACATTAAGCTCTGAAAATATGTATTTAAAAGTATATTCTGTTGACATGTGTATGCAGTTCTGTAGTAGACAGAACTGAAGTGCATTGAGGAGCTGTGTTCTCTGCAGTCTGCTTTAGGTGAACACACACAGCAGTCCTGACTCAGTCTGAGGGGTGGACTAGCTAATTAACCCACTGTCTGACCACCTCCCTCCCTCCCTCCCTCCATGTCTGTGTGCAGAGCTGACACCTTAGGACAGCCTCACATACGTACACGTACATAGACACAAACACAAAACACAGTTTACAAGACTTAGAGAATGAGTGCATCTGGCTGTTAAGTACAGAATGAGCAAAAGTGGAGGATGCTGTTACGTTTGTGTGTCTGTGTGTGTTTTTTTACATGCTTACAGTGCATTCGGAAAGTATTCAGACCCTTTGACTTTTTCCACATTTTGTTACATTACAGCCTTATTCTAAAATGGATTATTCCTCATCAATCTACACAAAATACCCCATAATGACAAAGCGAAAACAGGTTTTTCGACATTTTAGCAAATATATTACAATAAAAGAAAGTAACCTTATTTACATAAGTATTCAGACCCTTTGCTATGAGACTCGAAATTGAGCATCCTGTTTCCATTGATCATCATTGAGATGTTTCTACAACTTGATTGGAGCCCCCCTGTGGTAAATTCAAATTATTGGACATGATTTGGAAAGGCACACACCTGTCTATATAAGGTCCCACAGCAAAAACCAAGCCATGAGGTCGAAGACATTGTCTGTAGAGCTCCAAGACATGATTGTGTTGAGGCCCAGATCTGGGGAAGGGTGCCAAAACATTTCTGCAGCATTGAAGGTCCCCAAGAACACAGTGGCCTCCATCATTCTTAAATGGAAGAAGTTTGGAACCACCAAGACTCTTCCTAGAGTTGGCCAAATTGAGCAATCGGGGGAGAAGGGCCTTGGTCAGGGAGGTGACAAAGAACCCGATGGTCACTCTGACAGAGCTCTAGAGTTCCAGAAGCACAACCATCTCTGCAGCATTCCACCAATCAGGCCTTTATGGTAGAGTGGCCAGATGGAAGCCACTCCTCAGTAAAAGGCACATGACGACTGCCCGCTTGGAGTTTGCCAAAAGGCACCTAAAGGACTCTCAGACCATGAGAAACAAGATTCTCTGGTTTGATGAAACCAAGATTGAACTCTTTGGCCTGAAGGCCAAGTGTCACGTCTGGAGGAAACCTGGCACCATCCCTACGGTGAAGCATGGTGGTGGCAGCATCATGCTGTGGGGATGGTTTTCAGCGGCAGGGACTGGGAGACTAGTCAGGATCGAGGGAAAGATGAATGGAGCAAAGTACAGAGAGATCCTTGATGAAAACCTGCTCCAGAGCGCTCAGGATCTCAGACTGGGGTGACAGTTCACCTTCCAACAGGACAACGACCCTAAGCACATAGCCAAGACAGCGCAGGAGTGGGTTCGGGACAAGTCTCTGAGTGGCCTAGCCAGAGCCCGGGCTTAAACCCGATCGAACATCTCTGGAGAGACCTGAAAATAGCTGTGCATCGACACTCCCCATCCAACCTGACAGAGCTTGAGAGGATCTGCTGAGAAGAATGGGAGAAACTCCACAAATACAGGTTTGCCAAGCTTGTATCGTCATACCCAAGAAGACTCAAGGCTGTAATCGCTGCCAAAGGTGCTTCAACAAAGTACTGAGTAAAGGGGCTGAATACTTATGCAAATGTGATATTTTTTCTTTCTTTTTTTTTGTCATTATGGGTATTGGGGGTAGATTGATAAAGAACAAAAACTATTTAATCAGTTTTAGAATAAGGCTGTAATGTAACAAAATGTGGAAAAAGTCAAGGGGTCTGAATATTTTCCGAATGCACTGTATGTGTGCATTTTCTGTGTGTGTGTGTGATTATCACAGTGAGCACAGAACCAGCAGGTGTACTGCAGCAGCAGCCACAGCTCTGTTACATAACCCATCTCAAGTGGCCCGCTAATGGATCAGCCATGCCTGGCACGTGCTCTCCTGTCCCTTCTCTCACATACACACACACACACACACACTCATTATCACGCAGCAAGTCATTTGTCTCCTTAGCAACGTGGCCGTCACGCGTCGGTTGTCGGCGGCAACAGGAGAAAGGAAGACAAGCATAGAGAGGGGCCTCTGAACTCATGCTCTATAGAGAGGCCAAAGGTCAACGTGTCCCTGTGGGGCACACATACAACATCACACACACACACACAAACACACACACGCATAGTCTCTCTCTCTCTCTCTCTCTCTCTCTCTCTCTCTCTCTCTCTCTCTCTCTCTCTCACACACACACTCCTCTGAGTCAGTCAGTTTTTACCTAGGTGAGTCAAGTGGAAGGCAGCACATCCTGTGCTACAGTACATTTAGTACAGTCTCCAGCAGAGATGGATGAATTGAACAACCTTGGTGCTCTTTCTCAAGACAGTGATTAACACAATCACGTGCTGCTTGCTTTTCTTAGTTTGATAGCAGTGTAGTGGACTACAGGTCACTAGGGTTGATTATGGAAGTGGATTGGTCAAAAAATGTGAATGCTTCCTCAGGTGAGGTGTGTGCATGCACGTGTACCCTTAGGGGTGGTGCTATGTCAGAGTGACTAGCCAAATAAAGATAGGAAAGTTGAAATGTAAAAGGTTAGGTAAGGGTTATGGTTAAGGTTCGGGTTTAGGGTTTAGGGTAGGGACGTCCCAAAGATTCTGAATAGCACTAACCAATGAACAAATGCCCTACAGAGGGCACCTGAACCTGACATACTTTAGAGTATAATCATGGTTCATTAACTAGTCATCCCTCTGAGCAGGTTGTGAGTGTGTGTCCCTATAACTCCCCTTTATCGGTCTGTGCCTCTCTGATTCTCTCTCTCTCTCTCTCTCTCTCTCTAATATACACACTCACTCTCTCTTTCTCTCTGTGTTGCAGTGCAGTGTAGATTCCCCTGCTAGACTCAGTGCTGCAGGCAGGAGAAACCGTACACAACTCCTCTCAAACTCAAGCCTAAAATGGTTGTTCCCCTAGTCACTATCATGCTGAGTCATGTGCTTTGTCCATGTTCTGTTGTGTGCCTGGTGGAAAAGCTTCACAGCGATATGGCGACAGGCAACCACTGGAGAGCCACTGCGAGTGGTGTAGTGTGAGACTAAGTGAGGTGTCAGAATGGTTCAGTGAAGCAATACTGAACCCCTGACTCACCCTAATATACTGTACGCTGTTATTGTTTTGGCAAGTGATTGTGCCCAAGTTAATTTTTACACTGTGGGGTTATGTTGAGAAAGACTTGTTATGTCAGAGGTAGGCTGTGATTATTTATTTTAGGCCATACACACAGCTCAAAGGTTAGTCTGTGGAATGTACGCCTTTTTAAACAGTGTTTTTCAGCCAAATTGGCAACAAGAGCTTACAAAACATCAGCTGATTGCGATCTATCTGTCTCACTGAACCTTATCTTATCTCACACACACACATACAAATCCACACACAAGCACACGCACATGTCGGCGCATAAGCACACACACACCCGCACATAAGCAAGAATGTAATCAACACACATCCGCACACAAGCACACGCAAAAGACACACACACACAGACACGCACACAAAGGAAAACCAACACGTACACACAGATATTGGCACAGACACACGTACACAACTTACGCCTGTTATATAATGGGCCCTGTTCTCCTTTTCAAATCCTAGTCAATTGTTGATCTGCATCTGCAATTACAACAGTGCTATATTCCTACTCATTTTACTCACTGCTTCACTTGAAACACAATGGTTATGTGTTTGAGCTTGTGGAGGCTGATCTGGATTCAGTTTCTTTGAGGAGACGTACTGTACAGCTTACTGCAGTACCCAGCCATCTGATCTGGAGTCAGTTTGTCTGAGCAGCTCTCTCTACAGTTTACTGCAGTGGCTGGCTGTGAGACACCAGGCCTGTCTCCCAGCTCACACTCCTCTTAAGTGAGGAACTTGAACCAGTTCCCACCAATGATTTATGTATTCACTAGATGACTGACAGGGGATGCTGTTTTGAAGCCACGGCGCCTCCATCTTGGCACTTCCCCACCATTATAAATAATGTTTAGGAAGCTATAGAAATGCGAGAGCATGCGCGTACCGATAGGATGGTTGGGGAATGAATAGGTCAATTTTTTACTGACAAAACTGTGATTAAATGTAGAAGCCAGACAACAGTTGAAATTAAGCCTCTAAAATCGCTAGATCAATATATCCCCAAGCAACTGGGAGAGAGTGAGCGGTCAGTTATGTACAGCAGCGAACCAATCAGTTGATAAAGCGGCGCAGTGACATGAATCCAACAACCAATGGCTTCCCTCAGAGGAAAAGACAAGGAGCAACTTGGAGATGCAAACGAGAGTCATGAACAGCTAAAGGATATCCAGGAAAACATACACTATATATACAAAAGTATGTGGACACCCCTTCAAATTAATGAATTCGGCTATTTTAGCCACACCCGTTGCTGACAGGTGTATAAAATCGAGCACACAGCCACGCAATCTCCATAGACAAACATTGGCAGTAGAGTTCAGTGACTGTCAATGTGGCACTGTCATAGGATGCCACCTTTCCAACAAGTCAGTTCGTCAAATTTCTGCCCTGCTAGAGCTGCCCCGGTCAACTGTAAGTGCTGTTATTGTGAAATGCTCTCAATGCACACCAAAACAAACAAACTGCTACAATATGTTGTTAAAAAAGTAGATTTGTTCGAAAAGAAAGTAGAGTCTAATGTGTCAGACATGCACATACAAAGAGTGCGCATAAACGAACAAGACAACAAAATTAGCCTCCAGGAAACAAAGTTTCAAACTTTAGAAGATGAATTGGACCAGCAGCAAAACAGAATGAGATTAAACAACATGAGAATATTGTCCATACCAGAAGATGAGGAAAAAGGGGACCTTTCCCCGCTAAGTGTTCAAGCTGATATCGGAGGAACTTGACGTGGATATATCACTAAAGGATCTGGAAGGATGCCATAGGATCGGCGTGAAACAGAAGAACACTAAATACCCTTGCGTGGTAATCTTCTAATCAAATTTTATTTGTCACATACACGTGTTTAGCAGATATTATTGCGGGTGTAGCGAAATGCTTGTGTTTCTAGCTCCGACAGTGCAGTAATATCTAACAAGTAATATCTAACAATTGGGCTCCCGAGTGGCGCAGCGGTCTAAGGCACTGCATCTCAGTGCTTGAGGCGTCACTACAGACCCCCTGGTTCGATTCCAGGCTGTATCACAACCGGCCGTGATTGGGAGTCCCATAGGGCGTTGTCCGGGTTTGGCCGATGTAGGCAGTCATTGTAAATAAGAATTTGTTCTTAACTGACTTGCCTAGTTAAATACAGGTTAAATAAAATAAATAAAATTACACAACATATACCCAATACACACAATCTAAGTAAGGAATGGAATTAAGAATATATACACTACCAGTCAAAAGTTTGGACACACCTACTCATTCAAAAATTATTTATTTTTTTCCCATTTTTTCCATTGTAGAATAATAGTGAAGACATCAAAACTATGAAATAACACATATGGAATCATGTAGTAACCAAAAAAGTGTTAAACAAATCAGATTCTTCAAATAGCCACCCTTTGCCTTGATGACAGCTTTGCACACTCTTGGCATTTTCTCAACCAGCTTCACCTGGAATGCTTTTCCAACAGTCTTGAAGGAGTTCCCACATATGCTGAGCACTTGTTGGCTGCTTTTCCTTCACTCTGTGGTCCAACTCATCCCAAACCATCTCAATTTGGTTGAGGTCGGGGGATTGTGGAGGCATGGTCATCTGATGCAGCACTCCATCACTCTCCTTCTTGGTCAAATAGCCCTTACACAGCCTGGAGGTGTGTTGGGTCATTGTGTAATGTATACAATAACTATGTATTTATACTATGACTATCCCATTTCATGGAATGCCCACCACCCTCATACGACATGTCTGCTAAAATGTTTTAACTGGTTCTTCAGTGACAGACGGAACAGACAATGTTAACTTTAGATTTTATACAAGTAAAGACCAACAAAATCCAACTTATTACATGGAATGTACACATGCTCCATGATGGGGGGAGCATATGGTTCTTGAACACTTAGAGATTGTCAGCAGATGTGGTTTTCCTGCAAGAGTTACATTTCAAAATATATATGGTGGGTCTGGGCAGGGGTGATGTTGTGGATGTTTTTATGTGTCTTTATGTTGTCGTGGATGTTTTGTATTGTAAAAAATATATATATATTTATATGGCATTTGTTTTTGCCACGTTTATTCTATTACAGACACCTTAATGTATAATTTTAAATGATAAGTGAGCTAAACATTAAACAAAAATGAAAAAATATATATAAACATTTTCCTTAATAATTTTAACAAAGTTCTAATGTTACTGTCCCCACTACAACAACAAAATACATAAATACATGTAATTTGGTCCTTGAAACATTTAATTGAAATACAGTAGAATTCCATTCATTGCTATGGAGGACTGCTTCTGGGGTGTGCCAATATGGCCAACCGGTGGTTTCAAGCCCTCTCATTGGCCAATACATAGCATCAGCAATTCAGGGTTTATATACGACATTGGTTCTCACTCCCCATCCCACCTTCCTCTCTTTCACATTCTGTTCCTGGCTCCCTCTGTCTGTCTGTCTGTCTGTCTGTCTGTCTGTCTGTCAGCCTGTCTCTGTCTTCATATATCATTGTTTTCCCTTGCCCTCCCTCTCACACTTTTCCTCTCCTCTCTTTAGGTTTCCCCCTTTCTCTCCCCTCCCCTCGCCTCCCCTCATCACCTTAACCTTCACTTTTCCCTCCTCTTATCATTGTTTCTTAACTTCTCCCCTGTCTCTATATTGCTGCTCTCTTACCGTTTCTTACCCTCTCTCTACCTCTGGTTTTAACTTTGAATCTGCTATGTAAATACATGAATATCCCCTCTCTTTCTTCCTCTCTCTCTCTTCCTCCCCCTCTCTCTCCAGGAGAAGAACCTGGACTGGTTCCCCCGGATGCGGGCCATGTCCCTGGTGAGCAGCGAGGGGGACGGTGAGCAGAACGAGATGCGCTCCCTGCAGGAGAAACTGGACAGCACCGTCACACTGGTGTCCCTGCTGTCCTCCCAGCTGTCCGAGCTAAAGGATCAGGTACGGTACTGTCATTGAACAAGGCATTCATTTAGACACTGAACAGGGCCGCACAACTCCAGTGTCGTGTTCATTGTGGCACGCAATGTTTGATGAGCGCTTCTTATTGGATAAGTCCAAATAGTCTTTCCCCGTTTCAGTCCATGTTTGAGTGCTTGGTGCCTTATGAACACAGTCGGTATTCGAGGGCCACCGTCCTGTTGATTTTGTGGGTGTCCCTAGCACTTAACTGATCAATGGATTTCATTGTTTGTTCAGAGTTTAGTCCACACGCTATGGACTTTCTTCATTTGTATCCCTTTAAAAGTTCAGAACCAAAACCAGCATCCACTGTGGCCCTTGAGGAACATATCTATGCAATCAGCCTTCCACTATCTTTAACTTAGTGTATTATTCAAAGTTACATTTGATTCCAGTACATATTTTTTTAACCAGGGATTGAAATCAGCAACCCTGTAGTTTCAATCCTCAACCATACAGCCATCTCTCTCTCCTCTCTGACCAAGAGGCTCTCAACTCCTTCATGACAACCCAAGGCACAGATCACCATGGGTCTACTCACGCACATCACAATGGCCTATCATTCCTGTCCGTTCACATGCACTTGTCATTTTCTCTGAGGTTATCATGCCTTTATGTACGATGCCATTTCCCTCCCTGACCTTGGGCTGACTAGTCGTGTGCAGCAAGTAGTGTGACAGATCTCATCACTCACCATCACCTGATCATCACAACAACATCACCATCACCTGATCATCACAACAACATCACCATCACCTGATCATCACAACAACATCACCATCACCTGATCATCACAACAACATCACCATCACCTGATCATCACAACAACATCACCATCACCTGATCATCACAACAACATCACCATCACCTGATCATCACAACAACATCACCATCACCTCATCATCACAACAACATCACCATCACCTGATCATCACAACAACATCATCATCACAACAACATCACCATCACCTCATCATCACAACATTACCATCACCTGATCATCACAACAACATCACCTGATCATCACAACATCACCTGATCATCACAACAACATCATCATCACAACAACATCACCATAATCTCATCATCACAACAACTTCACCATCACCTGATCATCACAACAACATCACCATCACCTGATCATCACAACAACCTCACCTGATCATCACAACATCACCTGATCATCACAACAACATCACCTGATCATTACAACAGCATCACCATCACCTGATCATCACATCACCATCACCTGATCATCACAACATCACCTGATCATCACAACAACATCATCATCACAACAACATCACAACAACATCATCATCACAACAACATCACCATCACCTGATCATCACAACAACATCACCTGATCATCACAACAACATCACCTGATCATCACAACAACATCACCTGATCACCATAACAACATCACCTGGTCATTACAACAGCATCACCATCACCTGATCATCACAACAGCATCACCATCACCTGATCATCACAACAACATCACCATCACCTGATCATCACAACAACATCACCATCACTTGATCATCACAACAACATCACTATCACCTGATCATCACAACAACAGCACCATCACCTGATCATCACAACAACATCACCTGATCATCACAACATCACCTGATCATCACAACAACATCACCTGATCATCACAACAACATCACCTGATCATCACAACATCACCTGATCATCACAACATCACCTGATCATCACAACAACATCACCATCACCTGATCATCACAACAACATCACCATCACCTGATCATCACAACATCACCATCACTTGATCATCACAACAACATCACCATCACCTGATCATCACAACATCACCATCACCTGATCTTCACAACAACTTCACCATCACCTGATCATCACAACAACTTCACTATCACCTGATTATCACAACAACATCATCACAACAACATCACCAGATCATCACAACCACATCATCACCATCACCTGCCTCTCCTGCATGTGATCCCAAGGCAGTCACAGACCTCTCCTTGTGTGTTCCTCTGCTGCCTAGATGTGTGTGTGAACAACAAACATCTGATAGAGAAAATAACAACCTTGGTAAATAGCGAGCTGGAACTCATGGATGTTGTTTGTGAACACAGCCCTCTTATACTCAGAAAGAGAAAACAACTTCATGGTAAAAACAGAGCTGGAACAGGACATGAGTCGTGTTGATGTGGTTCCGAACGATCAAAGTGCTGGTGTTCATGGTATCACAGACAGTACTATGTTTACCTAGGAGGGTTGTTAAGGACTTGCCTCACAAGTCAGACAATTGTTTCTGAAATATTACATAGAGCAGGGCGAATATGGAAGACAGGAAATCGAGGCTATTTGGCCCTTTAAAACAGCAGATTTGGTCACTGATAAGCTCTACAGTAACATGCTATACATGACATCAGAGCTCTGGCTCTGCACTTCACAGCGCTGTATGGGTTTTGACTGATAAACATTCTGAACTTGAGCACCGCACGCGACAAGAAGTTGCATATGTTTTGTTGTCTGAATGAGGGAAATGCTGTGACTGTAGAGGACTTTATGTATTTTGAAAGATGTGTCATTGAGGATTATAATAAATACCGCTTTGATGTCATACAAGCAAGCCAAACAGCAGATGTCCAAATTTGCTCTTCACATATCCTTATCAAAAACTCATGTCATATAACATTTTATTCGTCACATGCTTCATAAACAACAGGTGTAGACTAACAATGAAATGCTTACTTAAGGCCATATACAGTGTCAATGTTTATGGTCACTTATGTTTTGATGTACAGAACATACCCTGGGTTGTTCTGAACAGAATGAGCCTATGTTTGTCTATTGTGAAGAAAATTCGCCACGGAACACACACCTGAATGCACTCATTATTTCTTTCTATGCTCACCAAAATGATGATATGTTTCTCTGAATTGCCTTGTGAAAGCTTAACACTGTAAGATCGTATTTTATAGCTTAGCTAGTCATGTTGGCAATAGAACAAGATGCCGACCTGACCTAAATTGAACATGATGCCCACCTGACCCAGATTGTGATTTATAATGGGCAGTTTTTGGATTGCGTAAACAACAACAGTAATTGTGTAATGGCTTGGATGCAGGGTTGTGCTCCAAACAAAACAACTATTTTGTATTGTGCACACTTTGGAGAGGTGTGTGGCCACTTGGAGAGACCAGTTAGTCCTCTCACTCAAACCCTTTTTTGCCTTATGTTGCACCTACCCCACATTTTCCAGGAATTTTCTTATCATGTTACTGAATGTATTCAGAGTATTTTCAGATTTCATTATCAACAAATGCAGCAAAAAGTACAGTAAATATAAAATGCACATAAAATCAACAGGGTAATGTTTGGATTGTCTTGTCAGGTTAATTGTTGTCCTCAACTTTGGTTTAATAATTTCACCATAATCTCCAAACTGTTCCCTTTCGATTGCTACCATGCTTATGCATTTAATATTTATTCTGTAAGAAACATTTCAATTTAGCCCTCCCTAGGCAAATTCCCACAGTGTTAACGGTTAAGGACAGATGTGTGAAAGCTGAGAGCTGAGCCAGGTCTTCAGTACAAGAGATTACAGATACCGGTACATGGTGTTTATTCTCACCAATGATGAATATCAGGACCCTTGTAATGAACTGTAAACTAAAGACAGTGAAAGGCTATCCTGTAAAATTCGACATCATCTCAAATGGACTCCTTTGGACATTAGACCACATTTCAATTTAGGAACTATCTGACAAATTGTAAAAGATTTAGGCAAACTAATGAAGCCAAGATTTGGTTCTCGGTTCCTAGATTACTGTAGGTGTAACCTGGGCTGACTGACTGTTTTTAGGCAATGTTGCCAGATTTAATTGAAAACTGCCCAAACTGGCAAAGCTGTGTGTAGCGTATATTGAATGTTGTTCTTTCCTTCTTTTCTACCCAGATGACAGAGCAGAGGAAGAATAAACAGATGATGGGCTTCCTGGGGCCTGCTGGGGTCAACAACCACCACATCCCAGCACACTGAGGGGCCTGGGGCCCCTTGATAACAGATAACACTGCTGGAGGTACAGAAAGGGACCACAAATACGTACACACACACACAAAATGTGCATACAGTACACACACGCACCCACACAATGTTATCAGATTTATGGGGCCAACGGCCACTGGCTCACACGCATACTTTACTCAAACACTGCTTTGTATTCAAAGCAAACAGTGCCTTGTATTCAAAGCAAACAGTGCCTTGTTCTTAGACAGTGTACTGACTCCTCACCCAGCATCACCCTCTCACATAGAACAGTACAGTGATGTGCGCCTTTAGGACAGCACAAGCTGCACAGTCATTCTGATCATCCCATATCAGTCCTGCTGCTCTGAGTGAGCCTCTGAATGAGATGCCAGGCATGCCACACATTGGCCAGTGTCACTATGGCAGACTGCCTGCAGACTGGAGGTCATGGGAGATGGTAAAAGGTTAAGTACGGTGGCCTTGTGGGCACCCATGCTCTTCCTTCTTTATTCTCAGTGCACTGTGTCTGTCTGAGACTAAGATGAAGACAGAGACTGGGCTATACGCAGGTCAGGTATTAGTACATTGGGTTGGTATTGTTCAGTTCTCTTTGGACTTTAAAGGGGCTGCTCCTTGTATTACTGATAGGCCCTCTTGTGAAAGGGTGTACGTGTAACTTTAAGGTGAAGTATTTTCTTCCTAGCCTGGTCTCAGATCTGTTTGTGCGGTCTTGCCAACTCCTATGACAATGATAATAGGAGTTGGCAAGGCCGCACAAACAGATGTGGGACCAGGCTATTCTCTTTGGGTATGTTTTAATATGACCTGTTAACTTGTGAACATAACTGGAGTATTACATTTTTTTACTTTGGAATAGAAACGGAACATTGATCAACTTACCGCCTGGCTGCGTTGTGGTAACATTGCTTCATCATCTCAATCATAATGACCGTGATAGTCAATGTTCTCAATATCCTGCACTTTAAAAAAATGTTAACATACAACTGGAGAAACGGATTTGCCTGTGATGTTACTTTGCCTTTTTGTTAACACTTTACTTGAACTCATAATGCTTCATACCAGTTTCATTAACATGTCGTAAAGCTTCATAGCATGTGTCAGGTCTCCAGGATATACTATGACAATGTTATGACACATATTTACATGTATTGTGGTATTTAGCCTTATGCTATGAAGCTTCACGGCATGTTTACGACGAGTTCAAGTAAAGTGTTATCGCCTTTTCTCTCAGTGAAGTGTCCTCAATGATAATGCAATCCCTGCACCGCATTACATGACTTTCTACGCATGTTGTACATAATCTATAAATAACATAATGAAAAGAAAATGTATATGAAGATAATCTGATTATCTGTGCGGAATTTACTTGAAATGCATTGAGTCATAAATCCTATATTGGTACAGAATGTAGTCAGGAGGACTGATTGAAAATCATGTGCTTGTGTCCAATACAGTAGATAGTCTTATTAACTCACTCATGTTGATAGAGATGTTTGCTCATACTGTAATCGTGACGTGCATCCCAAATGGCACCCTATTTCCTATGTAGTGGCCTTATTTTGACCAGGGCCCAGACAGCTCAAGTAGGTGCCTCTGGGCCCTGGTAAAAAGTAGGGCACTACATAGGAAATAGGGTGCCATTTGGGACACCACCATGGACATCAACTCATCTCATACTGTAATGATCATTCTCTTAGTTTGTTAGGGGTTCAAGCAGTGAAGCTGTGAGATGCCCTATTGTATTTGTTGGCGTTCATTATTATACGTCTTCTTCCGCCAAGGAAAATTAATAAGTATATTCCTGTGAGATGGTAAAGGCCCATGGGCCCCATACCCTGTCAAGCAATGCCATGTGAATTGGCATCACGGTGGCGTTATAACAAGCGATTGAAGATGCAAACTTTGAAAGGTCATGTTCCTTACCCCGTTTGAGCTAGAGTCATGAAATTCAGTACATATGTCCCTCTCCTCACAAGGAACAAATTTGCCTCAATGACTCACAAGGTTCGCCATGATGGATTTTCCACAATTGTTTTGATAAACATTTAAAACGCTACTCCTCTGGCATCGAATGACTGATCTGTACGAAACTTGATACATGGCATCTATGGACCAAGGTCTCTCAGAGCAATATTTTCCAGGATAGCATCTCAAACAACAATAAACATTTAAGTGGGCGTGACCTGGCACATAAATGCATATAAATCAGACACAGTTATTTGTATTGTAAAAACTTCATACAAATGTTCCAAACACTGTCAAAACTCAACATATGCAAGCACATTCAGATCGACCACACAGTGGCACTATCAGGGGCACATGATTATATTTCTTGATCTGTTTGACTCAGAGTGATGAAATTTGGCACACACGCTCAGGGATGTGGGTGTAGTTAACTTGTAGAGTATGATTCGGTTTGGCCGCATGGTGGCACTGTTTAACAGGAAAAAACAATCATGCAAGCTCATTGGCTTATAGCAGCGATGTTGTTTGAGCTAGAGTCTTGGAAAATATTGTGTTTAAGACATCCATAGATGCTATATACCAAATTTGTTGCCAATTGGTCAAGCGATTTTCTGTTGTCGTTTTTAACTCTTGTAACTCAGCCATGTAACTCAGTCACATGGAATGCAATTTAATATGTGTGTATAAAACTTGTATGTTTAAAAGTTTTTATGTTATGCAATCACATGACAGTATGAGAGTATGTACGCACTTCAGAGGGGAATGCCCTTTGACACTTTTCTGTAAACAGATACAGTGTGTTTTATGTTGTTCAGATGTTATTGTAATAAATCTATGATAATCTATGACTGGATGTTTTTGCCTTGAGTTGATCACTGTCTCTGTGTATTTAGTCAGCCTTCTAGGGGTTGAAATTAATGTTTGTCTTACCGTTGTGGGCCACCTACACACCCACACACAGTACACACATACAGTTGAAGTCGGAAGTTTACATACACCTTAGCCAAATACATTTAAACTCAGTTTTTCACAATTCCTGACATTTAATCCTAGTACAAATTCCCTGTTTTAGGTCAGTTAGGATCACCACTTTATTTTAAGAATGTGAAATGTCAGAATAATAGTAGAGTGAGTTATTTCAGCTTTTATTTCTTTCATCACATTCCCAGTGGGTCAGAAGTTTACGTACACTCAATTAGTATTTGGTAGCATTGCCTTTAAATTGTTTAACTTGGGTCAAATGTTTCGGGTAGCCTTCCACAAGCTTCCCACAATAAGTTGGGTGAATTTTGGCCCATTCCTCCTGACAGAGCTGGTGTAACTGAGTCAGGTCTGTAGGCCTCCTTGCTTGCACACGCTTTTTCAGTTCTGCCCAAAAATGTTCTATAGGATTGAGGTCAGGGCTTTGTGATGGCCACTCCAATACCTTGACTTTGTTGACCTTAAGCCATTTTGCCACAACTTTGGAAGTATGCTTGGGGTCATTGTCCATTTGGAAGACCCATTTGCGACCAAGCTTTAACTTCCTGACTGATGTCTTGAGATGTTGCTTCAATATATCCACATAATTTTCCTTCCTCATGATGCCATCTATTTTGTGAAGTGCACCAGTCCCTCCTGCAGCAAAGCACCCCCACAGCATGATGCTTCCACCCCGTGCTTCACGGTTGGGATGGTGTTCTTCGGCTTGCAAGCATCCCCCTTTTTCCTCCAAACATAACGATGGTCATTATTGCCAAATAGTTATATTTTTGTTTCATCAGACCAGAGGACATTTCTCCAAAAAATACGATCTTTGTCCCCATGTGCAGTTGCAAACCGTAGTCTGGCTTTTTTATGGCGGTTTTGGAGCAGTGGCTTCTTCCTTGCTGAGTGGCCTTTCAGGTTATGTCGATATTGGACTCGTTTTACTGTGGATATAGATAATTTTGTACCTGTTTCCTCCAGCATCTTCACAAAGTCCTTTGCTGTAGTTCTGGGATTGATTTGCACTTTTCGCACCAAAGTACGTTTATCTCTAGGAGACAGAACGCGTCTCCTTCCTGAGCGGTATGACGGCTGCGTGGTCCCATAGTGTTTATACTTGCGTACTATTGTTTGTACAGATGAACGTGGTACCTTCAGGCGTTTGGAAATTGCTCCCAAGGATGAACCAGACTTGTGGAGGTCTACAAAAAAAGTCTGAGGTCTTGGCTAATTTCTTTTGATTTTCCCATGATGTCAAGCAAAGAGGCACCGAGTTTGAAGGTAGTCCTTGGAATACATCCACAGGTACACCTCCACTTGACTCAAATGATGTCAATTAGCCTATCAGAAGCTTCTAGAGCCATGACATCATTTTCTGGAATTTTCCAAGCTGTTTATAGTGTATGTAAACTTCTGACCCACTGGAATTGTGATACAGTGAATTATAAGTGTTACACAGTGTCACATTCCACCTCATGGTCAGATCCTGCGGTCATCTGCTATTGATCAACGTTCACAGTTAACATCATGCTTTAATTAGCCCTGATCACACTGCAACTATTCTGCTTCTTCCATCTCATTAACTAGATAAGAACAGCTAGTTAACACACATTAGAAGCCTGATGTTGACTTTGGGTCAGCATTATCATTAGTCATTTTCCTCTTTAGCCTGTTTGGAAAGCTCAAGATGAATGACTAATGGGAATACAGTTGAATCCAAAATTATTGGCACCCTTGTTAAATATGAGCAAAAAAGACTGTATAAAATAAATAATACAAATACTGAGCTATATTGTATGCTAAAAAAAAAATAGGACAGGGCTCATGTCCAGAGATGGCCTGGTTATGTTCTGTTAGTGTTGACTCTGGCGGGGCTGTGTTTGCTCACACCGCCTCTGTGAGTCAGCCGTTAAAAGTAGCTGCACGAGGTGCCATAATAACCCACAGCTGTCACTGAGCAAGGCAGGAAAATTCTCACATTTTTTCTCATATAATTAAAATGGCAGGGCAGATACCGCCATAGTTAATGTACTGCTTTGTACCTGCTTCTGTTGGACATGTCCTAACTGCCAGTGGACTACTGTATTGTACAGTAGCTAGTACTGTAGTGGTGTAAGGTGCTGCTCTGGACCAGAAAGTAGTCTCTCCACTGTCTAGTGCTGCTCATAGTCTGAGTCTGAGAACATACTGATGTAATGTAAATGAGTAACCACTTCCAGGTCAATGTCTCTTACTGTACACTTATGACTCTTATGATTCTGAGGAACTGGCTGGAATTAGAATGACTCTTAGAATTCTTAGTCTCTGATATGTCTATGACAGGGTTCAATAGTAGTGGATTGGGCCAGGTGCACTGTATTTCCGTTGTCCATTCTACAGTGAACATTCTACACGTTTTGTGCATGAGAACAACACGATGTGTGCACGTGAGCTGTGTGTGTTGCTAATGTTCACAACCTTAGACACAATTGGACACCGGCCATCTTTGAATCTCTCGACACTGGCAGTCCCCGCCCAAAGTCACATGTTGTTCCGTCAGGGTGAACTCGGACCCACCCAATATTAGTAGGACAATAAACAGGACGTTATGCCACAAACACCTCTGGGACTGAGTCACGCTAATGATTGGATGTTGGGTTTATTGAATGGTTGTTGGAAGCAGGTGTTTTAGATGTTGCAGTGTGACAAAATAAAAAGTATTTTCAAATGCTATGTTGAGCAACTGGAGATTTTGTTGTTTGTTCTTGTTTTCAAATAATGTTGACAGGTTATTTTGACCATTTGAGTTATGCCAGGTGCATGTGGCCATTACTGAAGTGAAGCGTCTCAATAACAGAATTGTATCAGAGTCACACATTGGTGATTTAGCTTGTTTTCATTTAATTTTAGAGTTACTTGAAAGTGTTCTGCTCCCACTGTAAGTGAAGGTTGATCCAATAAAGTAATTGATCACCTCATTGATCTCCTACAATCATCTCCCCTCTCAAAGGCTCTGAAGAAATGTACAGGACACCAGATCAGATATCTGTTTTTACCCCTCACAGATCTATGGCAATTTCAAGCAGGTGTTTGTGTTTTCAAAGGAAGAAAAACAGATTTTGTGGGAGGGAAAGACATCTTTACTGCCAGTTGTATAAATACACTTCCCTCGTGATGGGCTGCATGTTACTTCCTATGTCATGCTGTGGGGATGATGAGGCGGTATGGTCACATGGTAGTTCATACACCCTCGGGCCAATCATAAACACCACAAACATCAGGGCTGTTTTCATTAGGGCACACCATAACAAAATGAGAAAACGATGTAGTCCCTCCCGGTTTCAGTTTGTTTTCATCCGTTTGGTGTCTAATGAACAAGGCCCAGGCCTTCTAATGCCATCTAACTTTCTCACTTAATCTGATAACACGCTGCTGTAGTGTATTTTTGCAGTCCAAAATGTCTGGTGGTGTCACGTTTTTCCCTTGGAGGGGTATGGTGAGAGACACAGACCCCTTATCCCTTCCAGTGATGGAATGAAAAGACTCCGGCTCAGATAGTTATTATGCTTCCCTCGACAGCTGTCTGCTGTCTTCAGTGATAGCTAGGTGTGGTACTGTAGCTCCAAGGCAAAACGCATTTATTCATTCACATATTTTTCACAGACAGTATTTCAGAATTGAGTTAAGAAACAGTAGAAGTAGGATTGCATGTGACACACATAATAAAACTGGGATTCAAGGACTTAAAAGTCAACGCCATTTATTCAAAGTAAATGTGTCTAAGCTAAAAGGCATAGAAAATGTACAACTGAACATTGGCAGTAGTTCTTTCTTTAATGTGCATGTAAATTACTTTAAAACACTCACCACTTAAATCCCCAGTAATAAGGCATCTATTGAAGATTAAACAGATTTCTCTGTTTTCAAACCTTTCTCTTCATGTATTATGTACAAAGAGTTGACCATAGTATCTGTATTGTACAGTAATTACCATATTACCACCCACCACTAGTTAACGCGAATGCCTCACATTTCTCTTTCTCATTCTGCTCTAGTCTCCGGTTGTGTCGTGTGATTTATGAACCACAAAAGTTTATTTTGCATAAGGCAAATCTCTCTCAACTTGAGACAACTGATTTAGCGTACTGTCTTCACTATTGAAGGGAGTGGGACACTGTCCTGCTGAATTAGCCAATGAGCCATGTAAACAGAATTTCCCTCTTCGGATGGCGCAGTCCAGCTGTCCGTTCGAGTACCCCTTTGGTAGTTTGGCATCTTTTATTCATCTATTAGAAATATCTCATGTAGCATTGACAACTACGAGTACAACGTAATCCACACAGTATATAGAAGTTGTTCAAAAAGCCATTATAGAAAACGTCAACCACCGCAAAATGTAAATATGATTGAAAACAACCTAAACACACTTATGCACACACCAAAAGGTTTTGTGTAATACATCTGTCCATTTGAGTAGAATGAGTGAAGATTCTGATTGGCTGATCGCTCAATACTCTACCCTCAATAGTGGCATCATCATGGGCTTACTCATCATGGGCCTCTTATTCCTAATCCCATCAGACCTTCTGCCAGTGCTGGAAGGAGGGCGAGCCCATCTGCAGCCCCACGAAGAACACTTGGTATCGGTGCTTCCACATGACGAAGGCCCCCAGGGCACACACCAGTGCTTGGGTCAGGTTCAAGGCAACCTGAAGCAGGAAGTACAGCTTCAGGGTGCCAGTGACCTCTCTGCAGTCGCTGACCTCCGTGTAGGTGAAGGTCCTGGCGATAGGGTCGTGAGGGTCCAGGGTGCACACGCAGTCGTCGCCCACCTGCAGGCAGCTGAAGCCGTTGGTCTGGGCGTAGTGGTGGCCAGAGAAGGCCATGACCAGGACAGAGAGGACAAGGCCCACGGTGCACAGGATGAAGTACAGCAGCTGAAGGAGAAGAGTTTAGTGTAGCATAGAATATCTAGTGGGGATTCCAGGGTGGGGGATAAATACTTAGAGGGAGGTCATCATTGTCCTGGAGGACAACAGCAGGGTCATGTTCAGCAGGCATGCAATGAAATTACTTGAAACAGAGGACAGACTACCAATAACAACACTGTTTCAAAGCATTTTCTCTGTTGGAGCCTACTGAACATGACCCTAGTTGTCTACACTAAGACAACTGGAGTTTTATGTCTTTACGCCGCTTTCTGTAACACATTAAATTACAATGACAGCAAAAAAAACGAATGTAATCTGATATTTTGACTTTCAAATTATGTGGTATAAATGTCACGCCATTCAGTCATTTAATGTGTTACAGTAAGCGGAGTAAAGACATACAGTGGGGAAAAAAAGTATTTAGTCAGCCACCAATTGTGCAAGTTCTCCCACTTAAAAAGATGAGAGAGGCCTGTAATTTTCATCATAGGTACACGTCATCTATGACAGACAAAATGAAATAACAAAATCCAGAAAATCACATTGTAGGATTTTTAATGAATTTATTTGCAAATTATGGTGGAAAATAAGTATTTGGTCAATAACAAAAGTTTGTTTGTAGTTTGTTGGCAATGACACAGGTCAAACGTTTTCTGTAAGTCTTCACAAGGTTTTCACACACTGTTACTGGTATTTTGGCCATTTCCTCCATGCAGATCTCCTCTAGAGCAGTGATGTTTTGGGGCTGTCGCTGGGCAACACGGACTTTCAACTCCCTCCAAAGATTTTCTATGGGGTTGAGATCTGGAGACTGGCTAGGCCACTCCAGGACCTTGAAATGCTTCTTACGAAGCCACTCCTTCGTTGCCCGGGCGGTGTGTTTGGGATCATTGTCATGCTGAAAGACCCAGCCATGTTTCATCTTCAATGCCCTTGCTGATGGAAGGAGGTTTTCACTCAAAATCTCACGATACATGGCCCCATTCATTCTTTCCTTTACACGTATCAGTCATCCTGGTCCCTTTGCAGAAAAACAGCCCCAAAGCATGATGTTTCCACCCCCATGCTTCACAGTAGGTATGGTGTTCTTTGGATGCAACTCAGCATTCTTTGTCCTCCAAACACGACGAGTTGAGTTTTTACCAAAAAGTTATATTTTGGTTTCATCTGACCATATGACATTCTCCCAATCCTCTTCTGGATCATCCAAATGCACTCTAGAAAACTTCAAACGGGCCTGGACATGTACTGGCTTAAGCAGGGGGACACGTCTGACACTGCAGGATTTGAGTCCCTGGCGGCGTAGTGTGTTACTGATGGTAGGCTTTGTTACTTTGGTCCCAGCTCTCTGCAGGTCATTCACTAGGTCCCCCCGTGTGGTTCTGGGATTTTTGCTCACCGTTCTTGTGATCATTTTGACCCCACGGGGTGAGATCTTGCGTGGAGCCCCAGATCGAGGGAGATTATCAGTGGTCTTGTATGTCTTCCATTTCCTAATAATTGCTCCCACAGTTGATTTCTTCAAACCAAGCTGCTTACCTATTGCAGATTCAGTCTTCCCAGCCTGGTGCAGGTCTACCATTTTGTTTCTGGTGTCCTTTGACAGCTCTTTGGTCTTGGCCATAGTGGAGTTTGGAGTGTGACTGTTTGAGGTTGTGGACAGGTGTCTTTTATACTGATAACAAGTTCAAACAGGTGCCATTAATACAGGTAATGAGTGGAGGACAGAGGAGCCTCTTAAAGAAGAAGTTATAGGTCTGTGAGAGCCAGAAATCTTGCTTGTTTGTAGGTGACCAAATACTTATTTTCCACCATAATTTGCAAATAAATTCATTAAAAATCCTACAATGTGATTTTCTGGATTTCTTTCTTCTCAATTTGTCTGTCATAGTTGACGTGTACCTATGATGAAAATTACAGGCCTCTCTCATCTTTTTAAGTGGGAGAACTTGCACAATTGGTGGCTGACTAAATACTTTTTTTCCCCACTGTACAACTCCAGTTGTCTTTTCCCTAATGTGTAAACAGCAAAAAAACAAATGGAATATGATCTTTTGACTTTTGATTCAAACCACCTCTATATGTGGATCTGAATCCTGATACAAACCCGATGATCCATATGCGACCTCTGTCTGGATGCTCGGATCAGATTTTTTTGCTTTGCTCATGACCTGCTGTTTCCATGACAACCACCCCAAAATGTAAAGGAACAGTGACTGGAAATGAGCATTCCATCCGTGTGCTACTTCAGAGGCTACATCAGTGTGAATGCGCAAATCTGATATGGGGCACATGTAAAACTGAGTGCGGACAGTCAGAAAAAAAATATTGGATATGGAAAACAAAATCTTATTTGGATTCTTAGGGTGGCTGTGTAAACACAGCCTTAGTGAACGAGGTATGCCCACTCTCTAGCCATATCCAAATAGGTTTGTCTGCTAACTATTATCTTCCCGCACAGCGGCCAATAAATACATGCAGGTCCTGGCTATAGGCCAGAGGTAGAACCTGTGCCTGAGAGACATAGCAGGGCTGTCTTAAAGGGGTACTTCACCACTTTATAACCTTTTTCATTATGTCCAGCAGCACCATACCAGTCTGTACATATTTAAAAACAGCAATATTTTACATGTAGTCAAACAGATATTAAGAAAATGACCCCCTTTCATTTTCACACAAAAACATTCCAGTTGGAAGTATCCCTTTAATGGAGGACTGACTGCTGAAAGTAGACAGTGTTCATGTGAGAATCCCCTGCAGCTACCATCCACTGTACCTTTATCCACATGTTGTGTGGGTATGTGTTGTGTATGACCACATTATGTAAACGGGGTCTAAAAATACAGCTTGATAATGTGTGAGAGGGGCTTTGTGTGGTTTATGTAATTACAGTGTACAATCCCAATAACACTTATCCTTCATCTAAATCCACAGGTTACGTAACATAGCCCTGATTCGCTCAGTATTTTTTCTCTGGTTCACGCCTTTTATAGCATTATGTAACGTTTGATGCTTGCTTAATTTGAAATGGTGTTTATGTTTATTTAAAAACCGCTGTGAAATATGGAGAACTAAAGTACATCATGAGATGTATTGTACTGTGGTGAACCGAAGCGCGCTAGAAGCGCTTCACAAAGCCTTTTATATACAGTGGGGAGAACAAGTATTTGATACACTGCCGATTTTGCAGGTTTTCCTACTTACAAAGCATGTAGAGGTCTGTAATTTTTATCATAGGTACTCTTCAACTGTGAGAGACGGAAACTAAAACACAAATCCAGAAAATCACATTGCATGATTTTTAAGTAATTAATTTGCATTTTATTGCATGACATAAGTATTTGATCACCTACCAACCAGTAAGAATTCCGGCTCTCACAGACGTGTTAGTTTTTCTTTAAGAAGCCCTCCTGTTCTCCACTCATTACCTGTATTAACTGCACCTGTTTGAACTCGTTACCTTTATAAAAGACACATGTCCACACACTCAATCAAACAGACTCCAACCTCTTCACAATGGCCAAGACCAGAGAGCTGTGTAAGGACATCAGGGATAAAATTGTAGACCTGCACAAGGCTGGGATGGGCTACAGGACAATAGGCAAGCAGCTTGGTGAGAAGGCAACAACTGTTGGTGCAATTATTAGAAAATGGAAGAAGTTCAAGATGACGGTCAATCACCCTCGGTCTGGGGCTCCATGCAAGATCTCACCTCGTGGGGCATCAATGATCATGAGAAAGGTGAGGGATCAGCCCAGAACTACACGGCAGGACCTGGTCAATGACCTGAAGAGAGCTGGGACCACAGTCTCAAAGAAAACCATTAGTAACACACTACGCCGTCATGGATTAAAATCCTGCAGCGCACGCAAGGTCCCCCTGCTCAAGCCAGCGCATGTCCAGGCCCGTCTGAAGTTTGCCAATGACCATCTGGATGATCCAGAGGAGGAATGGGAGAAGGTAATGTGGTCTGATGAGACAAAAATAGAGCTTTTTGGTCTAAACTCCACTCGCCGTGTTTGGAGGAAGAAGAAGGATGAGTACAACCCCAAGAACACCATCCCAACCGTGAAACATGGAGGTGGAAACATCATTCTTTGGGGATGCTTTTCTGCAAATGGGACAGGACGACTGCACCGTATTGAGGGGAGGATGGATGGGGCCATGTATTGCGAGATCTTGGCCAACAACCTCCTTCCCTCAGTAAGAGCATTGAAGATGGGTCGTGGCTGGGTCTTCCAGCATGACATCGACCCAAAACACACAGCCAGGGCAACTAAGGAGTGGCTCCGTAAGAAGCATCTCAAGGTCCTGGAGTGGCCTAGCCAGTCTCCAGACCTGAACCCAATAGAAAATCTTTGGAGGGAACTGAAAGTCCGTATTGCCCAGCGACAGCCCCATAACCTGAAGGATCTGGAGAAGGTCTGTATGGAGTAGTGGGCCAAAATCCTTCCTGCAGTGTGTGCAAACCTGGTCAAGACCTACAGGAAATGTATGATCTCTGTAATTGCAAACAAATGTTTCTGTACCAAATATTAAGTTCTGCTTTTCTGATGTATCAAATACTTATGTCATGCAATAAAATGCAAATGAATTACTTAAAAATCATACAATGTGATTTTCTGGATTTTGTAAGTAGGAAAACCTGCAAAATCGGCAGTGTATCAAATACTTGTTCTCCCCACTGTAGCTGTACTCACATGTTATCTTAGGCTATGAACTTTAGGAAAACATGAAGAAGGCAAAAATAGGGATCATCTTTTGATGCATACATTTACACCACTAAATGTAAATTGTATTACTTTTTCAATTTATTGTTCTGTTTTATACACGTTATAAGACTACTTCTACATACGTTTTGAGTGGAGGAAGTCCACCTGTGAAAATATTATATTTGTACGCTGCTCCCCAGGAGCTCAGTCACAATGGGCAAACAGTGGTGGGCCTTCTTTAATTCTTCATCGGGATCCCTGGCAGGAGTCTCCAGAAGCTCCAGTGCATTCAGAACAGCGCTGCCAGGATCCTGATACAAATACCTAAAAAAAACTGCTGCTATCCCATAATCCCACTGCGACCTTAGGTCGCGTGATAGCCTGCTAATCCACGTCCCCAGGACCAAGCTCTGCTCCATGGGGGATCGGGCTTTCTGCTCAACCACCCCTGCGCCTCTGGAATGCTCTCCCAGACCACAGACTCTGGCCTCCTTAAAAAATTGCTTTAAAACCCTCCTCTTTAGGAAGGCATTTCATTAGTTATAGCTGTTTTCTTTGCTGTCTTTGTCCCTTGTAGCGTCAGCTGTGTTCTCTGTGCCACTGGCCCTGTCTAGTTGTGTCCTTTTTTGTCCACGTCTCTTGTTTTTGTGTATCACTTTTAGATAGTTTTTCAATGACAATCACATTATAAATTCAATGTATTATTATTGCCTACATTGTATGGCCAATAAATGTGCTCATCTACCCATAGGCCTCCTACAGAGCCTTGCCAATAGGCATGCTGTGTTCTGCTTTTCTCTGTATGGCCCTATACATACAGTATCACCTTTATGGTCCAACCATACAACCCTGCAATCAGACATTGGTTCAAATCGTATTTGAAATCAATTCGCATACTTTATCTGAGCTTCATTGACCTTGCCTGTTGCAATGGAACTATAAACAGTACTAATCATCCCATTAGAGAGAGCAGTTTGTCTTGGTCAGTTGGACAGGAAAGCCGCGGGATGTAGGGGTGCTGAGGGGTGCTGAGGGTGCTGCAGCACCCCCTGATAAATATAAATAATATATACACTACCAGTCAAAAGTTTGGACACACCTACTCATTCAATGGTTTTTCTTTATTTTTACTATTTTTTACATTGTAGAATACTAGTGAAGACATAAAAAAAAGGAAATAACACATCCCGAGGGGCGCAGTGGTCTAAGGCACTGCATTGCTGTGCTAGCTGTGCCACTAGAGATCCTGGTTCGAATCCAGGCTCTGTCGTAGACGGCCGCGACCGGGAGACCCATGGGGCGGTGCACAATTGGCCCAGCGTCGTCCAGGTTAGGGGAGGGAATGGCCGGCAGGGATGTAGCTCAGTTGGTAGAGCATGGCGTTTGCAACGCCAGGGTTGTGGGTTCGATTCCCACAGGGGGTACGAAAAAAATAAATATATATATAATGTATGCACTCACTAACTGTAAGTCGCTCTGGATAAGAGTGTCGACTAAAATGTAAATGTAAATATGGAATCATGTAGTAACCAAAAAAGTTAAACAAAATATATTTTATATTTGATGTTCTTCAAATAGCCACCCTTTGCCTTGATGACAGCTTTGCACACTCTTTGTATTATCTCAGGGGCAAGACATAAGAGATCATGCATGCTCATGAAAGTCTTACATTGCATTATAACTGCATCATTAGGCATTATTCCTGCATGCTTTAAGTAAATAGTTACCAGTACATTTTATTTTCTGAATGGCATATGTGTTATTGGGAAACTGAATCTATTCAGATCTGATAAACAGATATCCATCCCAGGATTTGATCTGCTGATACCAAGTGTTGCCATGGTGTCCTAAGCCACACACACACACACACACACACGCAAACCTTGTCTTATTTGCTGCTGAGAGGGGCCTCTTCAACCCTTTTCAAGCTGTTCATCCCAAGTTCACTATTAATATTGTGCACTTTCAGCATCAGCTTGTCATCTGATAACATTATCACTGCTATGGCAAAACAGTTTTCCTCCTCTCTTCCAATGACACACACCCTCTCTCAGAGCATATTAGAGTCTTGTGACTAACATGCAGCATCTCATTTAATTGTTTTCCCCAGGTTCTTAAGCGGTGGGGAATCAGAATTCTCTTGTAGGATGTTGGTGAACTGTGTTTTTCACCGGGCCGTGAGTCTCTTGAGGAGGGAACTCGGGATGGATGTTTCCTGTGTGTGCAGAGACTTGCGATTGCACACATCTGTACACACTGTAATGAGGGCAAACGGGAAGCTGAAAGAAAACATGTTTTTCTCCTGTACGGAAATGCAACTGTGAAGTATCTCACATAGCATTTCTTTAACAAAATCATGTTATCTAACGTTGAATCACTACCATACATAGTCTAGAAAAACAATGCTATAGATAGTAGGGAAAAACACCTAGTCAGGCCCCTGTGTTATCATTAGTAGGCCTCTATAGCCTTGGGGCTGAAAGCGTTCATCATTGTAGTTTCTATAGAGTTACATATTATTTGTTGTAGCATGAGAACATTCAAAATTCAATATGGAAATGATGTATCTTATGTAATTTTTATTACTTCTAAGCAAAACTTCAGTGGAAATCCTAACTACATGTTAATACAATGTTGCAACATAAGGTAAAGTGTTACCTTCTATTGTTTTCAGTATTATTTGCTTTATTTATCTGAAGACATTAGCTAACTGTAGGATTGAGATAAGAGGCTAAGAACCATAATGCTGACTGGCATTCTAGACTTGTTGTTGTTTTCCCTGCAAGCCAAGTACTTTTACAATGCCAAAGTCTTGCCATGATTACAGTTGGGGGAAAGTTTGAAACTTGTTACAGCCCTTTAAGCCAGTTAACTGTTTCTAGGAGATAGATTGAATCAACAGTCAGCGAGTGAGGGAGCAAATGTGAAAATAACATCAAGCTAATTGCTAGTAGTCAACATGTTGACATTTAGAATGTCACCCAATGTGTTCAATGAGACTGAGAGGAACTCAGTAAAGCATGATAAACAACCCTAATTTTGAGTTTAGATGGAGCTAATGTAAGATTAAGTGTGAATAGAGAGATGAGACTAGGCAGATATGGAGGTGTATACTGTATGTGTACATGCAGTCAGGGCAAGATGGAAATACAGCAGGGACAAAGTCTTTGCAGAAGGACATACGGCATACAAACTGAAGCGGTAACAATTAGTCATGCCAGACAAAGATGGAGATGAGGAGATATGTACATGTGTCTGCGTGGCCATGCCAGAGTCATATAGATGTGTTTATGTACATCATTAGGCCATGCATGCAGTGAAGGTAGAAGAGAAGTCCATTCAGCTACATTCCAGGGGATGAGGCGGTACAACCCAGTGTCCACGCATTTATCGTAGGTGAAGTGCATGGGAGGCACGGTAGGTAGAGGATCAGGACACGTGTCCATGGCATACAGTCAAGCAGTGAGGTGAGGCTGGACAGAGGGATTAAAGGATAGGACAGTAACCATAGTGGCCGAACTGAGTGTCTATGCATGTAGATACACAAGGTTGCATTGACAGTGGTAGGCCTGATCACCGACGATGATGAGACAGCCTATAGGGAGGTCAGAGATCTGGCAGTGTGGTGCCAGGACAACAACCTCTCACTCAACGTCAGCAAGACAAAGGAGCTGATCGTGGACTATAGGAAAAGGAGGGCCAAGCACGCCCCCATCCACATCGACAGGGCTGTAGTGGAGCTGGTCAAGAGCTTTAAGTTTCTCTGTGTTCACATCACTAAGGATCTATCATGGTCCACACACACCAACACACGACAACGCCTCTTTCCCCTCAGGAGGCTGAAAAGATTTGGCATGGGCCCTCAGATCCTCAAAATGTTCTATAGCTGCACCATTGAGAGCATCTTGACTGGCTGCATCACAGCTTGGTATGGCAACTTCTTGGCATCCGACCGCAATGCGCTACAGAGGGTAATGCCGACGGCCCAGTACATCACTGGGGTCGAGCTTCCTGCCATCCAGGACTTCTACACCGGGCGGTGTCAGAGGACGGCCCTAAAAATGTTCAAAGACTCCAGCCACCGAAGTCATAGACTGTTCTCTCTGCTACCGCACGGCAAGCAATACCGATGCACCAAGTCTGGAAGCAAAAGAACCCTGAACAGCTTCTACCCCAAGCCATAAGATTACTAAATAGTTTGTTAAATAGTAAACCAAATAGCTACCCAGACTATCTGCATTGACCTTTATTGCACTAACGTTTTTGACTAATCACATACACTGCTGCTACTGTTTATTATATATCCTGTTGCCTAGTCACTTTATTCCTAGTTATATGTACATACTGTATCTACCTCAATTACCTCATACCCCTGCACATCGACTCGGTACTAGTACCCCATGGATATATCCAAGTTATCTTTACTAATTGCGTATTTATTATTACTTTTATTATGAACCGGCCGTGATTGGGAGTCCCATAGGGCGGCGCACAATTGGCCCAGCGTCGTCCGGGTTTGGCTGGTGTAGGCCGTCATTGTAAATAAGAATTTGTTCTTAACTGACTTGCCTAGTTAAATAAAAGTTAAATAAAAAATAAAATAATGTAGTGAGGTCAGATGGACATAAGGACCAGAGAAAGATAAGGCAAAGGCCCATGCAGCTACAACAGTGGCACAATGCCATATTGAGTGAACATGCATACAGGTCCATGCTTACAAGGATGCCGGCCCAGTGTGGGGTCTCCCTGGCCAGGAGTGAGGGGCTGATGCTGACCATGAGGAAGGCCACGGCTGTGATGGCCATCCCCAACAGCAACTGCAGCAGGGAGATGAGTAGGGGGAAGTGACAGCCACAGCACTTGTGGGCGTCCTTGGGCACTGGGCCTCCCTCCTCTGCTTCTCCTGGATGGGGGGTGCTCCTCCGCTCTTCTCCACTCCTCTGGATCCCTTCTTCCCTTTTCCCATTCTTCACCTTCTGTCTTGAGATGTGACAAGCACTTCTTCTTCAGCTTCTCGGGAGGTGGTTTTCTCTCTCTCTCTCGTTCCCTTCCCGTTCGTTTGTTTGTCAGTCTCTTACCGTGGTGCTGTCTGTCGGGGGTGCTACCATGCCCTTCTCCCTGCTGCCTGCCATGCCCCTCCTTCCCCTTCCTGCTCAGGGTTCCTCTCAACATAAGCCCAGCTCTGCTGCTAGGCTATTTGGAACCAGAGAAGGCGCTGAACTAATATGGAAAACATTTAGAGCAGATTCCTGGAGGGAGGAAGGGAGGTAGCGGGGGAGGGGGAGGGGGAGAGGGGGGGGGACACAAAGGGGGACTCCAACACATGACCAGAAGCACTGCTGTGATCAGACAGTTACATAGAAAAGAAAACGAAATAATGTTTGCTGTAATCGGAAATAGAAAGCAATAAGCAGTTAGGGGTTAAAGAAAGATTGGCACAGAGAAAGTCAGCCATGTCATTCTCGAATGAGAGCGATTGGATCACTTTTGTCAACACCGTTACACATACAGTTGGGCCAAGTGGTGGAAGCCAAAGTCACATGATTTAGTGGAAGAAGTCATGTGATCAGGAGACATGTGAGGGCATTACTGTAGCTCTGATCCTCTATTCAAATGATCAAAACATGGATTAATTAGTACAATTATAGTTCAGTTTCCAGGGTATAAGGAATTTGGGGGTGTTTTATTCCAAATAAATAGCAATGCCAAAGTAATGGAATTAGTCATTACATTATTATATGGTTTCAGAGCAACATTAAAAATTCAAGTAAATAATTAAATGCACAACCTCTAAATTGTCAGATCTTTCATAACATTACTTATTAATAGATTTTAGATTGGGCCCCGTGTAGCTCAGTTGGTAGAGCATGGCGCTTGCAACGCCAGGGTTGTGGGTTCGATTTCCACGGGGGGCCAGTATGAAAACATACTTTTTTTGTTTATGTATGCACTCACTAACTGTAAGTCGCTCTGGATAAAACGTAATTTTACAAATCAAAGTACATGTGTCTTGACATAAGCATTTAAAAAATACTTTTAATAATGTAATTGAATTGAATTTTGACAGAGGGGTACAAAGAAAACAAGGAAGTCACATTAACCCTCTGTCCCCCACACCCGCTGCTCCCTGTGCACACTGAGTGCTAGTGCACCTGTGAAGTTGGGCCGTGTAAACCGGATGCAACCCGAATATAGGCGGTCCATGATCGGACATCTTGGACGCAGTTGCCAGTTCTTTTATACCTCAATGCTTGCCACGTGGCTCTGTTTTTAGACGATTCTGAGACATTCAAAATGTCGACTTTATTATACTTTTAGACAATGTTGTATGCATGATTGAAGAAATAAAAGTATATTTCTATATTAGTATTAAGCATATTGTTGTCCTATGAGGTGTAATGGATCATGATGAATGGATAACAAAACTGTCAGACAAATTGACTATACCACCCATTCCCACCATCACCACTCTTAATTACAGAGGCAAATGCAGCATCTTGCAGTGCATGGAGTTCTAGCTCCAATTATTTCTGTTGGAATGAGTGCTGTGCACAACAATGTCTGCTAATATGAGTTAAAATGGCAAATGGTCAAATGCATAACACAATGTTAATATTAAGACACGATCACTGAAAGTAACTCATCAGAAAGATGAAGTAAATGTAATGCATAATAAGAATTTTGAATTTATATAATTGAATTGGATCAAAGTCATTTTTTTATGCTGGACTAAAAGTGAAATATATTATACATAAAAATGACTAATGTTGGAAATATTCAAAAAGCTGATGCAAACATTTGCCTCATTTTTTAAAAGTAGAACTAGCACAGTGAATATGCTCTCAGACGTTGAGCAGCAAGCCTGCATGACTCCTCTGGTTTCTCCTGGGGTTCCTAGTGTTGCTACACTGGTTCTACACTAGTCGAACAGGGAGGTTGGGAGGTTGGCAAGTGGTGTGGTATGAGACTGACAGTCCCCTGCATGCCTGCTACCATATCGCTCTTGGCCACCGCTGAGTGAAGCATATGGCTTCATCTGTCACAACAACCACTCTGCAGCATGATCTATAGTACTGGTAATGAGAACCAATATTATTAGGGCCAGACATCATGTGACTTGGCCAGGAAAGACTCTCAGCCCTATAGCCTATTACTGGAATCCTGTATTTTTATCTGGTCAGGTCACATGGTAACCTGGAAATATCCTATGGCCCTCAGTACAATTACAGCAAACAATTTCTGGTTACCTATAAATTCCCAGAATATTTTCTAAAAGTTCCCTGAAATTGTGCTCATTTAGACTCCCCTACATATTTATTTTGAGAGTTAAGCAAAAAAAATTAAATGTGGTCCTATACTCCAGCATTTTGGATTTGAGATCAAATGTTTCATATGAGACGACAGTACAGAATGTCACCTTTTATTTTAGGGTATTTTCATACATATCTGTTTTACCGTTTAAAAATGAAATCACTTTACGTATCCCCCCATTTGAATACGTTTTTTTCTTCATAAGTATTTGGACAAATAGTGTATAAAAGTAGTCAAACGTTTAGTATTGTGCCTTCAGAAAGTATTCATACCCCTTGACTTAATCAACATTTTGTTGTGTTAGTCTGAATTCAAAATGGATGAAATCGTTTTTTTCCCCTCACCCATCTACACACAATATTGACAAAGTGAAAACATATTTTTAGAAAATGTTCCTAATTGATTTTAAATGAAATGCAAAAATATATAATTTACATATGTATTCACACCCATGAGTCAATGCTTTGTAGAAGCAGCTTTGGTGGTGATAACAGCTTTGAGTAGTCTTGGGTATGTCTGTATCAGCTTTGCACATCTGGATTTGGGGATTTTCTCTTATTCTGCCTTGCAGATTTTCTCAAGCTCTGTTAAGTTAGATGGGGAGCAGCGGGGAACAGCAATCTTCAAGTCTTTCCACAGATTTTCAATGGGATTCAAGTCTGGGTTTTGGCTGGGCCACTCATGGACTTTCACATTCTTGTTCGGAAGCCATTCCAGCGTTGCTTTGGCTGTATGCTTGGGATCATTGTCCTGTTGGAACGTAAATCTTCACCCCAGTCTAAGGTTGTTTGCACTCTGAAGCAGGTTCTCATCAAGGATTTGCCTGTATTTGGCTCCATTCATTGTTCCCTCTATCCTTACCAGTCACCAAGTCCCTGCTGCTGAAAAGCATCCAAAGAGCTACATTTCTATCTCATCTGATCACAGAATATTTTGCCTTATGCTCTGTCTTTCTCAGTTATCATTATTCAGAGCTTTCATAATCATGGTAGCATCCACATTAATGCAGAAGTGTTCAGAAACGTCTTCTATTCTTATTTACAATAAAAGTGACTCCAAAATGACACAATACATTATTCACCATTCAGTTCCTATTGGGCAAAACATAATCTGAAACACAACCAAATAAAATTGCAAATGCATCCAACAGGTTTGTAGAGTCAGAAGCTTGATGTAGTCATTACGTGCTAGGCATATAGGACCAAATACTTAACTTTTGACTACTTGAATACACATATTGTATAAGTGAATTTGTCCAAATACTTGACACCTTCAAATGGGGGGACTAGATACGTAAAGTGCCTTCATTTCTAAGAAGTATACAGATATGTATATGCTGTAAGCGATAATATGGCAGTAGCAAGTTGACTTTGAAAAGGTTAAAGGAGGAGACTTGACATCCAGGATCCAGTCAAAGTAAAAGTTGTAATACAGAGCTTTGGGGTACAAGTGTTCATGTGAAAACACAGAGGATAAAAAAGCCAAGGCCAATAGTATGGTGGTAGAGCATGGCTAAAAAGGCATGTCTCAAAGCACAAAGAACAGATTATTCCTGTGAGTCTCAACATTATATAGTCATTTTGAATTACGTATACATGAATCATTACAGACGTTGGTTGATATGAACCTGATAAAACTTTCAGCTGAACAATGAGAACAGTGAGACATCTGCTACTTTGGGTACAGAGAGTGAAATTCAGCAGTTTAGAAAGTTCAAGATTGGATTGTCAGTTCCTGAGGCCTAGAATTCCGTGTCCTGACATCTGATACATAGATAAATACAAAACACTGGTAGACTTTTACTTCAGACCTTTTTAAGCTCTGCCAGGTTGGATGGGGAGCGTCTCTCCAGAGATGTTTGATCGGGTTCAAGTCCGGGCTCTGGCTGGGCCACTCAAGGACATTCAGAGACTTGTCCCGAAGCCACTCCTGCGTTGTCTTGGCTGTGTGCTTAGGGTCGTTGTCCTGTTGGAAGGGAACCTTCGCCCCAGTCTGAGGTCCTGAGAGCTCTGGAGCAGGATTTCATTAAGGATCTCTCTGTACTTTGCTCCGTTCATCTTTCCCTCGATCCTGCCTAGTCTCCCAGTCCCTGCCGCTGAAAAACATCCCCACAGCATGACGCTGCCACCACCATGCTTCACCTTAGGGATGGTGCCAGGTTTCCTCCAGACATGACACTTGGCATTCAGGCCAAAGAGTTCAATCTTGGTTTCATCAGACCAGAGAATCTTGTTTCTCATGGTCTGAGAGTCCTTTAGGTGCCTTTTAGCAAACTCCAAGCGAGTTGTCATGTGCCTTTTACTGAGGAGTGGCTTCCGTCTGTCAACTCTACCATATAGGCCTGATTGGTGGAGTTCTGCAGGGATGGTTGTCCTTCTGGAAGTTTCTCCCATCTCCACAGAGGAACTCTGGAGCTCTGCCAGAGTGACTATCGGGTTCTTGGAGACCTCCCTGACCAAGGCCCTTCTCCCCCGATTGCTCAGTTTGGCCGGGCAGCCAGCTCTAGGAAGAGTCTTGGTGGTTCCAAACTTCTTCCATTTAAGAATGATGGAGGCCACCGTGTTCTTGGGGACCTTCAATGCTGCAGACATTTTTTGGTACACTTCCCCAGATCTGTGCCTCGACACGATCCTGTCTCTGAACTCTACGGACAATTCCTTCGACCTCATGGCTTGGTTTTTGCTCTGACATGCACTGTCAACTGTGGGACCTTATATAGACAGGTGTGTGCCTTTCCAAATCATGTGAGGGCCTCCTGTAGCTCAGTTGGTAGAGCATGGCGCTTGCAACGCCAGGGTTGTGGGTTCGATTCCCACGGGGG